TAAATTTTTTAAATTATTTTAAATTCTTTTAAAATAATTTATTTAAATTCCAAATTTACCTTATTATAACTTAAATCCAACCTTCTAATACTTTTAAAAATATTAAATATATTTGAATTAATTGAAGTAATTAAATTTTGAGCTAAATTTAAATGTTCTAAAGAAATTGTTGGTTTTGCTGAATTATTAGTTGAAAATATTTGTTTAATATTGTTTTGTTGCAAATTAATTATATATAATAAATTTAAATTAAATAAAGAATTAAAGGATATCTGCAGGGAAAAATTAAAAAATAATAAATTTTATTAATTTTTTTTCAATATTCTATATTTACTTAATTTTAAAAAATTCCAGTTCGTAAAACTTAATTTTTAAAATTCATAAAAGAAAGTTTACTATAAACAAAATTCAGTCGAATTTCAATTCCCAGAAATATCCTTGGGGAATTGAAATTTTTGTCAAATTTTACTTTTAGATTTCGGGAATTGAGTTCCCAGCCCAAAAAACGTCGAGAATCCTCTATTTTCGGGAATCTGAAATCGTGATAGCACGTTTCTTCTATGTACAATCGACATTCAATTGTATCTAATTCCCAAATTTAAATGAATTAAAAAAAATAAATTTACATTTTTAATTAAATTATTACTCAAATCAACAAAACCAATAGTTTTAGGAAAATGTTCAAAATTAACAAATTCAATTAAATTATTTGATAAAGTTAAAACTTGAAGTGAAGGGAAATTATTATTTATTAAATTATTTGTTGTTGTTGATATATTTATTGTTGAAATCTAGAGAAATAAATTTTTAATTAAAAATAAATATTTTTTTAATTTTTAAGTCTAAAGCTAATGTCAACAACACCCAACATTAATAATTTATCAGAATAAAATCAATTTAGGGTATTATTTTTAGGGTTGCCAAAATGGACCGAATCGTACCGGAAGGGCCTGGAAAAGACTCGTAAGAATCGAAAACGGAAACCTTAGTTATTTTCCAACAAGGTCGAACCTTATTGTGACTTATAATGAGGGATATATTAAATTAATTGAGGCCCCTTTCCTCTATCCAAAATAATTTTAAAGATTTTATTTTAGATTGAGGTTATTTTAAGTTTAAATTTAAATATATTTATACTTACTTTATTAAAATCCAAATGTAAAAATTGTAAATTATTTAATTTTATATTAAATAAAAAATCCTCAAAATTTTCAATTTTATTGTCTTCTAAATTTAATTTTTCCAAATTTTGTAAATGTGTAAATGAAGGTAGCCATTCTAATGATGGGGAATGAAATTTATTTGATTTTAATATTAATTCTAATAAATTGGCCTTTAAAAATAAATTAATTATTAAATTATTGTAATAATTATAAGAGGTCTATGTCAAAATTAAAAAGTTAAAGATGAAAAGTGAAAGGAAAAAGATAAAAAAAAGACGAAATCGATGAGAAGCTAAACTTTCATATCCCTAATAATGCTGTCAGCCCTCCATTTTAAATGCACCCTTAAAACAACTTTATCTTATAATGAAGAGTTTCTTAAATAAGGGGTATCACTTAGATAATGATTCGAGTAAAATTGTGTTACAATAGAGCACAATATGGTAACGGGGACCGAAGGGGGCAATAAATGTCTGACTATTTAAAAATTTGTTGAAATTATTTATATCTTTATAACTTCGAGAAAATAAGTTAAAAAAGAGAAAAACAAATGTAATTAAATTTTAAAGAATATAAACTTAAATTAATTTTTAAATGAAATTACCTCCAACCCTCTAAAAGTATTAGCATTTAATATTTCAATTTTATTCTGTGACAAATCTAGTTTTCGTATTTTTGGTTCCGTTCTAAAAACATCTTGTCCCAATGAACGTATTTTTGTGTTTTTAATTGTTAAAATATTTATATTATTTGGTTGTTGCTGTAACGAAGATTTTTTAAATTAAATTACTTTTAATTTTTAAATAGAAAAAGTAAAATAAGCTTATAATCTGATCATGATATAATAATTATTTTAAATACTTCTCAATCTTAAATATTGCCTCCTTTAATTAAATAATCCCTCTTAAATTATTTATTTTTAGGTTAAGACAAAAATTATCTGAGCACTTAATTAGTAATCACGATTATCAAATAATCAACAAGGCACACTAGAAAATAAAACTAAGAGCCTTCACAGAAGGAATCATCATAAGGATACTTTTTATTCATTCTTTAATCTCCCCATTTTTAATCTTTGGATTACTCATCCAAAAAATTTAGTTATAAAACTAAAAAATTATTTTTTAATGTTTAAAATTTTCTGATTTATTTTTTACCATATTTTGTAAATTTCCTTCTTTTTTCTTCTCCCATATTTCATTTAATAAAGGTAATTCCAACCAATCTTCTTCATTACAATTTAAATAATTATTAATTGTTTTTATTTTATTATTATTTTTATTTTTTTCTTCTTTTATTTCTTCTTCAAATAAAATATTTTCTTCTTCTTCCTCCTCATTTTCTTTTTCAATTTCTTGACATTTACAATTAGCCCACAACGTAGATTTATTTATTGGGGTCCTTTTTAATTACAATTTTAGTTAATAATTTTGAAAAAGTTTAAAATAAATTTAATATTTATATTAATATATTTATTTGGAATTGTTTAAGAGAAGAGTGTTGAGTAAGTCGATAGTGAATTCAGAGCAGAGATGTTTCGAAACTGGAAGATCTCCGAAAATCGTAAATCGAAATTTCGAAACAACTCTGATTCAGAGACTCTTAGTTTGATTTAATTTATTAATATTTAATTAAGTAATTTTTTAAACTTAATCCTTAGTAATCTTAAAATTAACAACGAACCGGCAAGCAGCCGCTAACCAAGTAATTAAAAGAAATTGAAATAGAAAAGGTGTCCAAATAAAAATTAAAAACATTAAAAAGTAATTTTTGGAATTTTTTTGAATAAATAATTTTTAAAATTTCAAAAAAAACAATTTTACTAAAAAATAATTTTTTCTTTTCTCAAAAATAACTTAAAAATTTAAATTTTTATTTAAATATTACAAAGGAAATATAAAAATTGAATTTGACAAAAATAGAGTTAAATTTATGGGTCTTGAAAGGATTTTTATTTAAATATAATTTAATTTTCTAATAATTTTTTATAAAATTTTTTTGCAAAAAATGTGAAGAAAATGTAATAAAAATTACTAGCTATTTTATTAAATTCTTGGTAGTACACAAAAAAGTTTTAACTCGAAACTTAAAAGTAGGGTTGTCGGTTCCTGAAAATTCTTCGGATATCCGAACCCGAACCGGAACCGGAAAATCTTCGGTTCGGTCCAGAACCGACAACTCTACTTAAAAGAGTTTAAATATTAATTTTTAATAAAGTACATAATTAAATAATCCTGTCTAATTATTAATAAAATTGACAATAAGGATTTAAAAAACAGTAAAAAAAATCCCCGAGAATAATTTATTTAAAACCAAAAAAAAAATTGTAAATGTTATTATAACATTAATTAATAAATCTTTAGTCAAAAAATAACTCTCGATATTAATTTTTAGTTTAGTCTTCTACTTAATAATGTCTTCTAAATAAATTTAACAATAAATAATGAACAAAAATATATCATTTAATATGTACATACAAATGTGTTTTGGAAATAAGGTAAAGAATGAGAGGAGTTAAGGGGAAATGAATGAAAGGATTTTCTAAACTTTTAATACATTTACTAGTATTTGCCACTAAAATTTCTTTCCAAAGCATAAAAATAAAAATAAACCAAAAAAAATTTTTTCTTTTAATCTGCTTTTGACTTCTTTTTTCTTACCTTTTTTTCTCCCTTCACTTCCAATATTTTCCCTTTTCGGAACGGAATGAAGTAAGGAAAGTTACAAATCCTTTAAGCATATATTGCTGTGTTTAGTCATCCAAAAAGTAGTCAATTGCCAAGAGAACAGGTGCTTTTACTTTAAATATTTCCGTTAAAATATCCCCAAAGGGTCAACGAGAATGGTCAAAAGGGGGAATTAAGAGAAGTTTGTGTAAAATAACAGATGGTCGATAATGGAGAGAGTTTTTATTTATTTATTACTTCTTTGGATAGTTTCTAAAATAATTAATGGATATAAAGGAATTTTGGCATGTAAAATAATTAAAAGAAACAACTAAAAAGTCTACAACAGTGATGCTCGCCAGTAGAGATCGAGCTGGACCTGGATCAAGGCCTGGGTTTTTCCTGCACCCAGAGTCCCAGGCATTTTTTGACCTTCCTGGGTTTTCCTGGGACTGGGTTTTTCCTGGACTACAGGCCTAGGATCCAGTCCAGGTCAATAAATTAAACCCCAGAGTCCAGGAACAGGTCCAGGCTTTTCAAAAATCTCGATCTCTACTCGCCAGTAAAAACGGCAGGCTGCCCGGGAGTCAAGGTTTCTATATTTGAAAGAGCCAGGAACTAGCAGAGCACAAAACATTCACTGAATTAATTTAAAAAACTCAAATCCAAATTTGACAAAAAATTTGGAACGCTTCACGAATTTGCGTGTCATCCTTGCGCAGGGGCCATGCTAATCTTCTCTGTATTGTTCCAATTTTAGTATATGTCCATTTGGAATGAACATGTGTAACGAAAAGTTTTCTAAATATAAAGATGGATGAAAATTTATTGGAAATAAATGTCGCTGTTCTAAAAATAACAGAATTTTTTCTCATACCTTAGCTCTCTCTGTTTCCTATTTTTCTCACTTTTTAATAATGAAATGAAAAAAACATAATTTTATAATTTATATTCGAAGGGGTTTACTCTAATGAATTAGAGAGAGACAATAGGACAGCGAGACATTTGGACAATGTACAGTAATTTCAAGCTTATTTAGCCTATTGTTATCAAGCTTATTGTTATATACTTTAGTTACTATAAAAGGCTTAAACAAAAACAATTTAAAACATCCAACCAACATCAGTCGACAACAACACCAACAACAAATCACAAGGCAAAGAAGGTCATCATGGGTGGAGGTCAGTCAAAGTCCATCGCTTCGAAAACATCCAGAGCTACAAGAGGCGAACGTGGAACTGCGGGATCAGATTCATCTGCTATGGACAAAACTCCGGCCTCCAGCAATATCAAGGGCGAGGATAAGGACGACGATAAAGAGGATGGGATTGTTGGGGAAGGTTTGCTTGGAGAAGGACGTTTTCTTGAAGTGCCGAGACGAGCCCACAATGTTTGCGGAGTTTTTGAGGACACTTATCTGATTATAGAGCCTTTTGACGATCAAATGGAAAGGGATTTGGCTATCTACAGTATCTTCAACACGGTGGAGCCTTGGCAGGTAATTGCTTAGTTTTCCTTCTTAAAAGAATTTTTAATTTTTAGACAATGGTTGCCTATGTTGCTAGACCAGAAGCAACCCGAAGAGATGCAAAAGAGTCATTTGATGGATTTCTGCAAGTCGCGAGAGCTCATGATGCAGTAGAAGGAGAGGGTGGTAAAAAGGTTAATCACATCCCAAAGTGCATATTGAAGGGGAAATTGAAAAGGCTTGTCTTTGGCATTGAAGAATTCCAGCAATACGAACACGACCCGGATTGGATTAATAGACCAGCAATTCTCTACACTATGCCGGCAGGAGTTTTTGTCAGTTCTTTGTTGGCAAATGCTCCTCTTGGGTGAGAGAGAGGGAGGAAAAGTTTTAACTTTAATTTTTGTCTTTTTTAAAGGATTGTGGAGCCTTGGCTTGCTTTAGTTGTTGGAATTGGTCTAGTACAAGCTTTGAACTCTCTTCACAAATTGGGATTCATCCATCGCTATGTTACTCCTTGGAACTTTTTGTTGAGGACTCCATTCACTGTAGAAGGCTTAAAGGATGGTATTATGCACATGGACTTCAGTTTGGCTGTTAGGTGGCCTTCCAGGTGGGAGGGAATGTAACACGAATCTTCAATTATTTTCAAATTTTTAGGCAGAACAAACACGACGATTTGGTTGGAACGCGCAAATATAGTTCAAAAAGGGCTCTTAATCGGCATATTCAGGTACTTGATTGGGGAGACTTCATTTTTAATTATCACACCTATTGAGAGTTGAAGGATAACTGAGGAAAGGATTGGGGGATAATGGAGAAGTTTAGAGGGTTTTAGAGAGTTCCCAACCTTCAATTCCGCCTCATCCCATTAATTTATCAATTCTTTTTTCCAGGGTCCAGCAGATGACTTCATTTCTGTAATCTACATTGTTGCCGAACTGATAAGTGGAAAGTGAGTGAAAAATAAAAAAAATATTTTTATCAAAAAATTTAATTTTAAAGGCTTCCTTGGCGTGCAGCAAAATCTGTTGCTGTAGCTACTACATTGCGTAATACTTTTGCCAATCATGTTACCTTCGCCCGATTGCCTAGAGAGATTCGTCTTCTATATCAGTAAAAATAGATTAGATTTTAGTCTTTTAAACTGATTATTTTTTTAGTCTACTCAATCGAATCCCTGGAACTAAAGAACCCGACTATGGAATGATATTGAAAAGCTTCACAGATGCACTTAAAAGAAGGGCGCCAGATTTGCAGATGAAGGAACTTCCTGATTGGATGTCGATGCCTGCAACATAGGAAAAATAAAGAGAGAAGAATATGTAGGCTGATAAATAATAAATATATCTCGATAATGTTGTGATAATAATATAAATAATGTATGTATTTTGTATGTGTAAATAGTGTGCCCTTTTTGTAAATAAAATTGTTGATTAAATTTTAAAGTATGAGCAATGAGTAGTCCCGGAGGGTTTCGACAACCTAACGGCTTATGACTTTTATAGTAGTTAAAGTTGTCCCGATTAATTTCTGAACGATTATATGTATTTTTTCAGCATTTCGTCAATTTTGTTTTAATTTTTAGAAAAATTATTTTTAAATTAAAAAATATAATTTTTTCTAAAAAAATTCCAGAATTATACTATTTTTCAAGATTAAATTTCCTCAATTTAAACCCTAACTCGTTTTGAAAGGACTTCTATCTTAAGTGATTTTGTATTGGATAAGGGGTCTAATAGAGCCGAGAATTTACGGTAATTAGGAACAGAGCTGTTTCGAAAGAAAAAAATCTTCGAAAATCGGAAATCGAAATTTCGAAACAGCTCTGATTAGGAATAATTAAATTTGTAAAAAGAATTTATTAAAAATTAAATTAGAAATTTAAAAATTACATAAAAATATTTATTTAGAGAACAAGCTGGATCTATATCAGACCTTGATTTTTCCTGTAACCAGAGTCCAGATCAAGGCAATTTTCAGCGTTCCTTGATTTTTCCTTGACCTTGATTTTGATTATCTTGGTAAGGTCAAGATGTGATTGTCATGAGCAAATCATCATCCTCAATAATCTCAAAGGTCCTTGATCTGGTCAAGGTCCTCACCTAAAATCAAGGTCAAGAATCAAGATCAAAGTTTTTTTTGAAAATCTCGTTCTCCACTATTTAGTACATAAATTCTAAATTACATCTTTCTTTAACTTCATTCCCCATACTTCTTAAAAGAATTTGACTAAAATTTCGAAAAAATCTTTTTTTAATAATTTCTATAATTTTTACAAACGTTTTTCTTTTTCCAAATGTTTCATTCATTATTTCCTTCAAAACAATAGAATTTCCAAAAATAAAATCTCTATAAGGGTTGGGTTTAGGAACTTTAATTACTTCGAATAAATATCCTTTTTTCCATTTAAAAATAGCATCAGGTTCTCTTCCATAATATCCATACTTTAAAAAAAATTTTTTAAAGACTTTTTAATGGTGACCGGTGAAAAAACGCCAGTTAGGATTTTTTGTTTCTTATGCAAATGTGCAACATTCTACACACTCTCGTATTGTATAGTAAAGCGGTTGGTCCCGTTCCCCAGTGCCTCGTTGTGTTGCTGATATTATTAGCAGTCACGCATGTTGCAATCATGTGTGAACTCCGCAGAGTATAGAAAATAGGTTAATAGCTCGCAGTGGGGGAATATAGGGGTAGACGTCTCTCCCTTTACACGATGGATAAGCCAGCCGGCAACTCTGTTGAATGAAGTGATCTGCCTTTGCCTATTCCATTAGAGCTTATATGCACCAGCTTACTTCCTTATTGCTTTCCTAAGGATAAGTTTGTGGCGATGTTAAGTTTAGATAATGGGCGGTTAATAACTAATGGGAATGGCCGTTTGTGGCGTCGGATTTTCGGATATTTGTTAGACACAATGCGAGAGAGTGTAAAATGCTGCATATTCCGGACAGGCGTTTTTCACCTGTCACTAATTTTTAAGCCAAAAAAAACCAAAAATCGGAAAGAAGCTTTTAATTTATTTTCATTTTCTTTTAATATTTTATCAATTTTCTGAAAAAATTCATTTTCCTCAACAGATTCATCTATGTTAGTATAATTACTTAAAGTACAAGTAAATGTTTCTAAAGCCTTAAAAAATTATAAATTTATTTTAAAAATAAAATTATTTTTACATTTAAATTCTTCAAAAGTTTCAATGAATATTCACTGTGTAAATAAAAAGATAGTGGATTACGAAATTCCAAGTTCTAAAAATTAAAAGAAAAATTGTGGATGATTAATGTGGTTTTTTATTTTTACTCAATGGTTTTTTACTTTAATGGTTTTTTACTTTAATTTAGCGAATTTGGATATCTGGAACCGAAAAAGTCTGTGATAGACAAAAAATATTCTTTCGGATATCTGTTGATTTCTAAGAACAGGCCCCAACTCTGTGTAAGTAGAGACAAACAACAAATCCATCGATCTTCCCCTTTTGGTCAGGGATGTCCACAATTGTGGATTGCGTGGAATTGCGCTTTTTTGACTTGCGGATTGCGTTTGCGGATTTAAAGATTAAACTTGTGGGTTGCGGGTTGCAGCTGCGTAAAATTTTTTTTCAATTGCGGAAACCCCTGCTTTTAGTATTCCCTTTCAAAAACTGTAAGTCTTCTCAGGGGTAACCCCCCTAAAAACTATTTTTCACATGTAAGTATTTGCTCAGTTTAATTAAAAATAAATTAATTATAAAGGTACGAATTAACATTAAATTCTTACCCTTAAAGGAGTAATTGAATTTAATTTAATACAAAATTCAAAAATAAAATCATCAAATCTAGCATTTCCATTATCACATAATAACTTTAAAAAATTAATTATTTAATTCAAAAAAAATTCCAAAACGCTGTGAAAAGTCATTCGTTCATTAATACATCCTCTACAAACAATAAAAATTTCTATAGAAAGAGAAGAAAGTTTTTTGAATGAATAAAGGGCTTCTAATTCTCGGGCATCTACTGGGCCCTTACAATTTCGAACATAATTTTTCCAACAAAAATCTAAATGTTCCAAATTTGGACAAGAAGAGGCTATTTTTAATAAATCTGACTTGAAAATAAATTTTTTTTTAATTTAATTAAAATTTAAATACATTATTAAGTGGAGAATAATCATATACTGATAATGCACGTAGAGAATATAAATTTGGATGAAAATTTAAAAATTCTTTGTTTATTGTGTAAAAGAAAGGTACATAAATAAACATATCTTTACATATACTAAAAAATAAAATTATATTAAAATAAAATATAGTTAATTAGAAGGGGCCAGGCCCTAATTAAGAGGGAAGATATTGATGGTGATCGTGCCATAAATAGAAGCGAGCTGGGTGAATGATGTTGGTATACTTGTTAGTCAGGCTTAAATCCGACCGAACACTAGGCCCCCTCTAATTAATTACCCCATCTAGCGAGAGGTTGAAACAATAATTACCCAGGGTAATTATTCGAGCATTTACAGTACCTACTATTAGAATATTACATATCAGGGGTGCGCGAGTTTCGCCTTTCGCTTTTTAAAATTACTTTCGGAACACCCCTGATATGTAAATGCATAGTATGAAAAAGTAAAATTTAAAAAATACAAATATTATATTTCCTATATGAATAAATGAGCTTATAGAATTGAGCGGTAACATCATGCTTCGGCAAGCCTGAGGACCTGATCAACCCTCAGAGCTTGACCGATTAAGGTAAAATGAATCCCGGACTTAAGTCAAATACCCCAAATGGAGATTCCCTTGCCAGCACGCTCCAATTGGCGTGCTGTGTTTCTTTAAGAGAATATTTGTTTTTTAGATAAATCTAAGGATAATTTAATTTACACAGGAAAACTTTTTACCTCTGAATTTCTGTGACAGTTAATTCCTCTGTATAACCGTAAAATTGATTATAAAATAATAAAAACCCAAGTTTTGGACAAATTTTAGAAATTTCATCCAAAGTTCTGACAGAATAATCAAAAATAAATAATTGTTGTAATGTTGAAGGTAAAAACTGTTTTTGATTAATTTCTAAAGATCTCTCAAAAATTTCCTCAAAACGATTAATTCGAAGACATTCAAGTTTTTGACATTTTAAAATTAGTGACAAAAATGCATCGAGAGTTCTTTTCTGTTTTTTTAAAGAAAATTTAATTAAAAAAATTATTTGGTGTTTAATTTGGGGTACTTTTCCATTATACGCCCACAAACTGAGTGCCAGACAACTTTGATCGGCTATAACTTTTTAATGCTTGATTCAATACAAATGAATTTTATATCATTCGAAAGCAAACGATCCTTTTTCCAACTTGATTGGATCAGGTCTGATATTAAAAAGTTATAATCCGATAAATGTGAAAAACATCAAATAACTGGACTTATCGGTTTATAACTTTCTAATCAACGATCTGACTTAATCTATCCTATTAGAAAAAATATACAGTTTATCGAGGGCTTTCGAACGATATAAAATTCATTTGTATTGAATCGGGCATTAAAAAGTTATAGCCGATCAAGTTCGTCCGGCACTTAATTTGCTGTCGTATAACGGAAAGGTACCGAAAATTAAAATAATATACATACTTTTTTATTAAGAACTAAACCCAACGATAAAAGATTAGGAGCTAAATACTCCCCAATTTGATTTAAATGCCAAACATCAATCGGCTCCTCCATAGAAAAATGTTGAAGAGAAGGCGTTAAATAATGAAAATAACGGCCTATACGTGTTGAAACTTTAATTCCTCTTTCAATACAGAGCAATTCTAAATATGGAGCAGACCGACGAATTAAAGCGCTGAATACACCTAACTAAAAGGAAGGAAAAAGATTTTTAATTTAATTTAATTATAGGGAAAATATTCTTATTATTATTAGCTATCCAAATCAAACTTTTGGGGACAAAATTTTCACACGCGTCTTTGACTGTGTTTAATCAGAGGACGGGCGCTTCGATAATTCTTAATTATTCTTATTCCCTATTTAGTTCTCTATCATTTAAGCTTTATTTGATCTCATTATTTCTAATTCGAATAAAGTTATGTCATAAAATATGTGTCTAATCTCTTTTTGGTCACCCTCTACAAACACCCAATCTCCAAAAAAATTTTAAATTAAAAATAATTAATTATTAACCCAGCCTAATTAACCAAACAAAAATTTAATTAAAAACCAACAGTTCTTGAAGGCCGCTTTTTGTCAAGTGTATTATTCCAAAGGAATTTTTTATGTTCCTCAAGCCTTGGTGGAGTAAAAACAACTAATTTATATTTACTTTTTTTAACACTCTCAATTCCTTCCAATCCTTTATTAATTAATTCTTTTGTATTTTTAAAATTTTTATATAAAAGTAAATCTTCATAATCAAAAATTAAATCTTTAAAATCCACCCAGGCAAATTTCCAACATAAACTTCTCCAGTCTTTACATACACGTTCAATTTTAATTTTTTCATTTAAAGTCAGAAAATCAAAAATATATTTCTGAAAAAATATTTTTTTTAATTTATTTTTAAAAATTACTAAACCAAAATTTCTGGAGGCAAATCTTGTAATTGCATTTTTAATATTTTTTTAAAATTTATTAAAGCTAGAGAAATTAATATTTTGAAATAAAAATTAGGTAAAAGTCACAATAAATGACAAAGCAAAATTATGAAATATTTTTATTTTTTATTACGCTTGCGTGTGATGACGAAGTATTTAAAAAATCCTGCCTATGTACGTTTGCGTCTGACGAAAAAAACAAACGAGTAGATGTTACTACTTCAATGAATAGTCTTTTCAGATAAAAGATTCCATCTATCGAGCTTTCAGATGACATTAGATTTATTATTTAGTTTATGTAGATACTTAAGAGAATTACGGCAATTAATAGGCAGGAGACTCAAACAGCCCGTTCGCTAAAAAGGCCGTTCAATCTTCTCTAACCCATACACATAATTAAAAATCTTTTGCTGTCTGTCATTTATTCATCATTCTCTCTCTTATTTATTTACCAACCATTTTCTTCATTTCTGTTTTCCACTGCTTTCTTTTTAACTTAAAAAGTCTACTCTCTCAAACATTTTCTCTCAACAAACTCTACCCTCTTTTATAAACTATGCTTTTCTTTTCAAAAGAGAATTCATTTCATAGTTACTTTCGCAGTTTAGCTATCGCTTCTCGGCCTTTTGGCTAAGATCAAAGTGTAGTATCTGTTCTTTACGGCTTAATCTCCGTAACGATCCCTACCGGGATCAAAGAGATTAACCAATTTTTGGAAAAGGGCGTGAGTTGGAAGCTTGCTTCCTCTCTGCCGCGCGTCGGCCTGGTCTTGCACTTACCTCCGGGAACGGCGCATTCCTCCCTTGGGGGAGGATCAAAATCTGGTAAGGAAAAGATCGAAAGAACCTTTCTTGGCTTCTTGAAAGGTAGAGGCCAACACTCGCTCCTGTGCATTTCTATTTGTGAATATTTTTAATGGACTGTCTCAAAAAAGACTTGGTGCCCGGTTCGATAAAAACGAGGCACTAAAAAAAGACTCTCTTATTTATTTACCAACCATTTCTTCCATTTCTGTTTTCTTTAATTTTAGAACGTCAGCCTGATAAGAAAAATCCAACCCTAATATGTAAATAAGGCTCATAAATTACAAATCTGCTTAATTTAGATGGTTTACCCTCTCATTTTTAATATTTTGATAAAAGAAGAAGGAAGGGAACTTCAATTTTACCGATTGTTCACCATTTTAATTTTTAATACAAAATTCAAAATTACAAAGACTTCCTTAAAATTATTCATTCTTTTTTTCCTGATCACTTTTCACTTCTTTACTTTCTATAATTTCATCTCCCTCCTCCTCTCCTTCCTTAATTTTAGAATCATCCACAATTGAAAATAATATTTGTATTTGACATAAACAAATAGCAAAAACTTGAAAAAAATTTTTAATTTAATTTCTAAATTAACCAGGCCCAATTAACAAAGCAAATAGCCAACTTCCATAAAATAAATGAGATTTAATAATTTCAATTAAATTTAAAATTAAATTATTCCAACATTTATTTATTGTAATTGAAGTACATAAACGATAATAAATAATTGGTAGAGATAAGGAAATTGGATTTAAAAATAGAAAAAAGAAAAGTCGGCAAAGGAAGGATGTTGATTTTGAACTGAAAAATAAATGAAATAAAATTTTGAACTAAAATAAAAAATTTTTTATTTTTAAAGATTTCTTTAAAAAATTATGCATTAACTACTAAAATAAATTTGAAAAAAATATTTCTTTAATCTCTCATCGTGTTAGAGTTATGGATTGGGCCTTTCCTTTACAGGGACATTTGTTTCTATCCCACAACTAAGGGTTGTCGGAAACTCTTCGGATATCCAAAATCGAAATGAAGTATCGAACTCGAAAAATCTCCTCGATCAGGTAAATCGACTACAAGGGATGTCAAGGGTTGAGAAAGAAAGCCGGGTCGGATATCGAACTTCGGATAGCCCGTGACATCCCCGCTGACAATTCTATCCATGATTTCCATTCCAATAAAATTTTCCCCAATTTTTATTTAAGTTTAAATTAGGGAAGGTCAAGGTTTTTTTTGAAAAACCGAGGCCGAGGTTGGTAAATCGGCGAGGACTGGACCTTGGCGAGGCTTCAATCTCGACCTACTCTAGTTTAACTTAAATTTTACAAAAAAAACTTTTTCAATTAAATACAACCAACTTACATACTTAACCCAACAATAGCTATCGGTAATAAAACAAAACACAAAATTAAAGTTAGAGGAAAATGAACAAGTGAAAGAGCACCCAAAAATAATAGCAATTCCAAATTTACAACAAAACGAGAAAAATGAAAATTTTTTGAATTTCTAAAATTAAAAAAAAATTAATTTTTTAAAAAACTTACAATTTAATTCTAAATAATAACAATAAAATAATTATTAAAGGAATTAATAAATTAATTAAAATAAAAATATTTTCTTTAAATAAATTAATTTGTAAAATATAAAATAGGAAAGATAATAAATGTGAAGAACAAATAAATTTAATTGATGGAAGTATTGATGTTGTTGTTATTTGATTTAATAAAAACCATTCACGTAAAGTCTAAAATTATGTTAATTAATTAAACATTTTTGGCATTATTAAATACTCCTTTGAGTAAAATATGTATAAATTAATTTAAATTTTTGACATTATTTAGTCCTTTGAGAGTAAAATTAGATTTAATAACGAGGGGAAAGAGAAGTCTGTTGTGGATCAGAGTGGTCCTTTACAAATCACCAAAAAGGGGCATGGCCTCTCAAAAAAGGGGAAAACCCCTAAAAAGAGGCAAAAGGACCAACCGGTTGTGGATAGTTGATTAAAATTTACTTTTTTCACTAAATCCAAAATAGAATCCACAAATCAAACCGATATTGGGAGCCTGACTAGAGTAGAGGACAGATTGAAACGGAACCGTCAAAAATCTAAGCTAATGAGACTCCGGAACTCGATAATTTTTCAGTTTCTCAGACTTTGCTTAATAAGGCATAACTTTAAAAAATATTTTTTAATAATTCAATAATGAGGGGAGAAAGAAGGTTGTTGTGGATAGACTCTCTCGATTAAAATATAATTTTTTACTAGAGGTCAAAATTCTAGGTTATTGAGATTCTCGATCTCAATATTTTTCAGTTTCTCAGACTTTCTACAATTAAAAATTGGAAGCTATTTAATTTAATAATGACTGACTTTAATTTAAATTTACAAAAAATTACCGGTAAAAACATAGGGGCAACAATTAATCCAAATAAAGGCATATAAAGGGCTGCTGGGACAAATCTATGTGGATGTATAATTAAATAAAGTAAATAGGAATGATGGAATTTTTCTAATAAATTATTTAAAGAACGCTTAAAAAATTAAAAATTAATTCAAAATTAATTGTTCCCCCAACCATTCCCCCTTCAATAATTTTAACAATATCAGACAAATCAATTGAAATTGGCCCAGAATGTTTTTTGTTGGCACGTAATGTTACTGCATTAATTCCATAACGTCCATAAATGGCAGTAAAAGGTTCTAATTCGTTAAAACTCTTTTTTAAAAATTAAAAAAATATTATTTTTGAATAATTAATACACCTTTATTTTAAATACAAAAAGGAATTTTTGTTTGGGATTCGAAAAAAATTTTAGGGTCAGAATTAAGGAACGAACGTGAGGATGGCCAAGACCTGAAAAATTCTAAAAAAACTAAAAATTAATCGAGATAACCGAGATTTTTGAATGGACCTCATCTAGATTTAAACGTTAGTAAGGGATCTAGTGGTCTAATACATATATGCCTTATTTCTGAAATAGCATAAATGGCCTCGTTTACAACTAGCCTTCAAAGTGGGACTCTATTTAGGGGCTGAGTTCTAATTCAGGGTGGGGCTTTTTTATGAAGCACGGTTTGACTTACGAATAACAAACTAATTTTTGTAAATACGTAAAATAAAGGTTTTTTAATTTAAAAACAAACAAGGGAAATAATTCCATTCAAAAAAGTATTTGCAGCTCCTCTAAAATTAAAATGATTTCTTGCCCGTGTTATTTTATGAACTGTTGGAATTGCTCCAGCTTTTTCTGTTAATAAAACAGCCAAATCAAAGAGATCCATATTTGGTAATTTTCCATTAATCTTTTTAAAATTTAATTTTAGGACATAGTGTTTAAAGTAGAGCTCGGACGGAGGGCTCGGTCGATATTTTTTCGATAAATACCGAAAAATACCGAATATCGAAAAATATCGAAAAAATCAAAATTTTCTCGGTCGATATTTTTTCGATAAATATCGAAAAATATCGAAACCGAAAAATATCGAAAAAAAAGTCTCGATATTTTTCGATTTTTCAAAAATTTTTCTATAACCAATGAATAACAGAATAGACCTAGTAGTTTAATGAGATTAAGATTGATTAAATGGGATATTGGTGGATTTGGATGTATTAAATGGAATATCAATGGACTTGTATTTGATATCAAAGGATCAAGTGGGATATAAGTGGATTTTAACTAGGGATATGGATTTTAAGGAATTAAGGGGGATATTGAAGGGCTGATTGTGTATCGAGAGATTTAGAGGTAGTAAGTGTCAATATTGTGGATTTATGAGATAAGGAGGGATATCAAGGGATTTGTGGATTAAGAGGGATATCGGGGGATAACGGAATATCAGAGGAAAAAATCTTGGCATTTGATATCCGTTTTGATATCCATCTCTCCTAAAGTCCGTCTTGATCTCTCGAGATCCATTTTATGCACTTAATCCTTTATTAGTTATATAATATTTCCATTTTCGGCTACAGAGAAGAAAAGATTTTTAGAAGGTCATTGAGCAAATTTTCTTCCCTTTCTGCGGCGAAGGCGAAAATTTTGTGAATTTTGGAAAGTATTAAGTCAGATTTTCCTTTATTGCACCAGCTTTTATGAGGACCATATATTATCTCACTCTCATCTCGCTTTGGCAAACTAAAATCATGAATATAGAAGAAACCTTTCTCCTTTTCTTACGCCGCAGGCGAAAATTTTTTGAATTTCCGATGTGCAAGAAGCAAAAATGCATCCTTTTTGATGCAAAAAATTCAAATTTTTGTCAAAAATGACGTTCGATATTTTTTTCGATTTTTTATAAATTGGTCGGTCGATTGTTTCGATTTTTAAATTTTTTCGGTCGATATTTTTTCGATAAATATCGAAAAATACCGAATATCGAAAAATATCGAAAAAGACAAAATTTTCTCGGTCGATATTTTTTCGATAAATATCGAAAAATACCGAATATCGAAAAATATCGAAAAATATCGAAAAAATATCGTATCGAGCCGGGCTCTAGTTTAAAGGTTTAATTATCTGGGGGGAAATGGTAATTCCAAGGCTGGTCCCCCCCCCCTTTTTTTCTGTTCCCCTGACCATTTTGAGCTTTTTTGCTTGGCATATAATTTTCAATATATCATTCGAAAGAGCTGTTAGAGCTGAGTAGAATGATACTATGATAGGTTAGATTTGGCGAATCTGAACAGATTTATGAAGCTAAATCCTCGAAGGACGTGCTTTTTGTGATGCGGAAAGGGATTAAAACAAACGCTCATTTCTATGTTTATTTAAGTCGGATTTCGATGAATCTAGTACCGTTCGACTCAGCTCGAAGAGCTCTTTCGAATGATATGTAATTTGCCATAAAAAGTTTAAATAATAAAAAAAAATAGAAAGGAAAAAAAAGGGGGGGGGGACCAGCCTTGGAATTACCGGGGAAATTTGGTTGCGAAAAGGTTTAGGTAACTGAAATTAATTCACATTTCACTTTGTGCACAAAAAATCGAAACATTATGTAGGAGATTTGATTCTAAATTATCTAATAGGATTACTAGTGATATCTCTCGACCTGGTTTCGGGGTTGATTCCAGGTCTTGATCTCGACTCGCGGCTTTTTTAACTCCGGAACAAGGATTCCGAGCAGTCATTTTAATGATATATCCAAAAAGTGTATTTAATAATTTGGAAAAGGTTTTTTTAATTATCTGAACACCCAAAAATTTAAATAAAAATCCCTCCTCCTCACCATTCCATGCAATACTTCAACATCTCCAAAAATATTTCCATTTATATCCAATCCAAACGCCCCAATAAAAGTCCCTCCATGTGCCTCTAATTCCTCATCAATTAATTCAATTCCCTCCTTTTGTTGTTGTCCATGATAAGCAGAAAGCCAAATATCTGCAGATTGGGTTGTTCCACCATCAACAAAAAGAAAGACCAAATCACGGGACCAGTAAAGTTGGTCTTTAAAAGAGAGAAAAAAAAAGATTGAAATATTAAATGTTTTAGTTCTGACAAGGATTCGTCGTTTACTGTCAGTGCGAATTCAATATATTTTTTATACCATTCGATAGAGGATCCTAATTTCCTATTGCGAAGTGACATTTGTTTTCTTGCAAAATGACTTTTAGCCGATTTTGTCATATATTTTAAAAACCCCCCAAATAGACATTCTTAGTCAATAAGAAGGTAAAAAATATCAAACAAAATTCTATTTTTGTTCTAGAAATTTTATGGCTTTAAAACGAACAACTTCTAAGGCGTTGTCCAAAAATTCCAGATAGAAGATTGGGGATATTAAATTGGGAAGAAACGGCCTCTAGTTAATTTACAAGAGCTAAACTATTCGAGGATATAAACTCATCATTTTTTCTTTAAAAGTCTTTAATAAGGTTCTAAATTTTATAATTTGATGAATTAAAATCTACCAAATGTCAGACGGTAATTTGCCCTTTAGTTTTAAAATTTTTACGATTTTTTAAATTAAATTTAAAAATTATTTCATTTTACCCTTAGCATAATCAGCAAAAACTAAAGCCACAGCAATTGACTCAATACTAGTTGTAGGTACCGCCAATAAAATAGCCTCGACAGGCGAAGCCCGGAATGCCCTAATAATTCCATAAATATTTTCTCCATTCGAATTATTATTTGACTTCAAAAATAATTTTTTTAATTTTAAAATTAAATTTACTTTAAAAGAAGGCAATAATTTAAACTTTTGCCGATACACTTCAACTCGCATTCTGACAAATTCATCAAAAATAAAATTTCGTATTTCACTAGAATGAAAAAAAAAATAAGAAAAAAAGGAAATTATAGGGATAGAAATTAAATACAATAATTAAAAAAATAAAATTATTTTCAAGAAAGTAATTTCACAGAAATTAGGTAAATACCGATATTTTTTTCAATTTTTTAAATTAATTCTCAATTCATAACCTCGATCTTACTTAACTATTTTAACGTAATTCTTGGCTCTAAGACAATAAAAAAATCACGGTATTCCGAAAAAATATATATCTTTAATCTTAAACTAAAAAAATACAGGGTCTGTCAATCAGTCTCAAATTATAAGTTAAACAATAAGAGAAGCTTTTTTTTAATTCTTAAGATGATTTTAAAATTATTGCTTAAATAAATTATTTTTCAGACTTTTTCCACGAAAAAATTAAAAAAAAATTTTTCTTTGATTATTTTAATTATTATTAATTAACATTTGATTATTTTTAATTTCACCCAAATCCTCAAGTAATTGAGATAATTTATCTATATCATGCCAACGTTCATCAACTAGGCCTGCCTGTAAATTGTATTTTTTTCAAAATAATTTCCTAATTTCCCCTACCAAAAGAGCATTTTCTTGTATTTTTGTATATTCCCCAATTTCTCCAGAAATTAACAAAAAAGTATAAATAATTGCCAAAATAAAAAATAAAAAGCCTATCAATGCAGAATGTTTAGTTAAATTCATTAAAAAGGCTGGTGGTTGAGATGAACGAATTGAACGTGTACGAAGCATTTTTAAATTTTAAAAAAATTTAAAGAGAAAAGTTTTGAAGTTAAAAAATAATTTAAAAAAATTAAAAAAATTATTTTTTCAATTTAAAAACAAATTTAAGTAAAAAATATTTTAATCTAAATTATTTAAATACAAAAAAAATAAAATTAAAGAGCAGAACAAAAAAATTTAAAGAAATTTAATTTCAAAATATTTTAAATAATTGTCTAAATATATTTTTAAATCTATAAAAATATGAGAGAATTTGATCAACAAAAAGTACATTAAAAAAGAAAAATGCAGTAGAAATACACAAAAGTTTCGAATATTTTCGAAATTATAAATAACCCTGGGTAATTAGTGTGCGGACATATCGGGATTGGTGTGTCAAAAATAATCTCTTGCGTTTGCTCTAAATCATAAAAACTCTATTCCGACAATATACTATCCAAGACCCAGTGGCTGTAGGTCCCGAAATTAGTAGGATAACTGTTCGTACCTTGAAATGTCCCGATTTGTCCGTCCCGAAATGTCCGCGTACCAATTAATTGGCTTTTTTCTTGGGCGGATAATTAATCGAGGTAATATGGTTTAATAATATATTAATTATATTCAAAACTTAAAAGTAAATTTATAAAATTTAAAATTTGAGATTTTGGAGATGAGTAATATAAAAAACTAGATAATTAAATATATTGGCAATATAAAAAAAGGTTGACAGTAAAGTGTCCAAAATAAAAGGGAGAAGGGGAAAGGGACAAGCACGACAAACTTGCAAAAATCGAAAAAAAAATTCTAAAAAAATTAAAATGCCTGTCCCTTATAGAGAGAAATACATACAAACAAAATAATTATAAAAATGTCAAACAAATTACTAAAATAATTTCTAATAAAACTGTAAAAATTGAAAAGAATCTTTTTTGTATAGAATATATGTCATTTTAAAATTTTTATTGGTAATAGTAGTCTAGGTTGTCCCCCGGTATTAATTAAATTTTTTACTCGAGTTTTGTGGTTAATTTTTGATTCTCCAGTAGTGTTTTAAAGTAACTGGATAATTTTAGTTTTATACAAATTAAATTCAAAAGACCACCAAAATTGACCAAAAAATCCCTTTAATTTTTTAAAAATCCCAAAAGAAAGCTATGAACCATAAAATGTTTTAAAAAAACTCCAAAAGTAATCACAAAACTGCAAGAAGCAATGAAAGTGGAGGATTATGGAGACCAAACTTTTTGATTAAAACAAAATTTTTGTGCAATCCTACTCTTTTTCTATTAAAAAATTACTCCCTATTAAAATGACATATTCTACACATAATTTAGCTTAATGGAATGTCAAAAATCAGAGAATACTTACTTATATGCTGCTAAATATTTAGTGTTTTTGAGGTGTTAAATTTTAAGTAAAATTCAATTTTTTTAAACAGAAAATTCAAAAGCTTTTTCTGAATGGAAGGGAACATCAAATGGATTCTTCAAAAAAATTTTAAAAATAATTTTTATTTAAAAATAAAACAAACCAGCCATTTAAAAGAAAATTTTTGACCACCTCCCCCACCAAAAACAACTTGTAAATTCTTCCAAGCTGGAGAAGATTTATTATTATTATTGTCACAATTTTCAATATCTTCATTGGGTTTTACATTTCTCCTTCCATTATTATTCCACTAAAATATTTTTAAAAATTATTTTTAATTTTCATATAATTTGAAAAATTAATTTTGTTCCAAAAAACCCCCCAAAAATCAATGTTTTTATTATTCTTTGTGTAAATTTCCTCTATTTTTTAGTCTAAAGAACGTAAGGACTTAATGGACATATACCAATTTTTAGCAATTAAACTTGTAACCATAACAATGGATAAATTTTATTTATACCTCCTTATTTTTACTTATGTTAAAAGTTTTTATTAAAGAAAAAGATTTTCACTAAAAAAGCAGTCAAACTCAAAAGTTGACAAGTTGGGTTGCGGACAACCCATACCGAAGAACCTAGGATTTTTTGGTTCAGTTCTTCGGTTCGGTTTCGGATATCCGAAGAATTTCCAGGAACCGACAACCCTCCTGACAAGGGAAATCGTTTACTGCCTGTGAGAACTCTATATATTTTTGCTATCATATACTTCATATACCCCGACTTCCTATGTTAAAGTGATAACCATTTTCTTTGCAAAATGAATGCTTGAAAAAAATGAATGCTTGAAAGCATTTGGAATGCTTGAACAGAAGGAAAAAGAAAGGGGACCTAAACCTAAACTTAATAAAAAATAAAAGCAAAATTTAACCATACATTTCTTTCCTGTTTAATATTCTCAATTCCAGTTTGGTCAGAACAAATAGCCGAAATTTGTGTTCCAAACATTACAGCAGTAAATATTGAAAAAAGGACAGATTCAAATAAAAGAAAAATCAAAAGAATTGTGGTTGCTGGTGGACTAAAGACAGAACAGGGCTTCCAATCACTTCCAACACACCAAACAAATTGCTGAAAATTTTTGGGAATTTAAGAAAAAAATTTAAAAAAAATACCCTAATAGCCCAATAAAGTGTATGGCAAGAAAGGAGAGATATGTAGAACTTGAAAAGAATTTTTTAAATAAATTTAATCAAAAAATACCGTAAAGAGAACAAAACATTTCTGAAAAAAATTTTAAAATTAAATTTATTAAATTCTACTAACTTGATTATTTTCACCAACACAATTGTTTACCCACTAAAAAAAGGAAAAATATTTTGAAGACTTAAATATTTAAAAAAGACTCACAGGACAATGATGATCCATTCCTAAAAAATAATTTTAAATTAAAGATGAACAAAATTTTATCAAAAGGATAAAAATACAAAAACTAAAATGAAAATAAATTTCATAAAAATCCAACTCTTCAGGAATTTGTAGATTTTTGTTTAAATAATTTAAGGCCAACAAGATATTCGGATATGGGACCAACCGCCTTAATATAATTACACAATAGTTCGAACTAGGACCAGATTAAAGACATGGTTAGCGTCTTGCGGCAGAAAATAACATTGGGAATGAAGAGACGCGTTTTTGTCTATCCTTTTAAATGCTATTTTTGTCGCAAAACGCAAGACGCCTTTTATGTAACCACGACATAAGAAAGAATTTTCAGGAGCATTTTTTCGGAATCCCTAAGTTCTAATAAAACCCGGTTTTTAATATTTTAGTTTTAAAAGACCTAGTCAATTTAAACAAAGTTTGGAACAGAATTAGACTTTTGAGAAGTCAAATAATTTAAAAATAAATTAAACAAACTTCTTATACATCTTTTACAAACAGAACAATGATGAGCTCTTTCCGGCTTTATTGAAGAACATTTTGTACATTTATATAAAACAGTCCCATTAAATTGTTGTTCCTTCTCTAATTGTGCAATATATTCTTCTGTTAAAGTACCCTTTGGAACAGCACCGGGATCAGTAAACCTTTTTTTAATTTTTTTAAATAAATTTTTAGAAAAAGAAAACATTGTTTTTAAATGCGCAGCGCCAGAAAGAACAAAAAGAATTTCAAAAATTAAAAAATTAATTGACTGGTGAATTTTGTTGTCTTCAAAGGAAGTCATCATTATGGCTAAAATACAAAACTGTCCATAACTAAGAAGTAACCATGTAAAAAGACCACAAACAATGCCTGGATAAAATAAATTTTATTCTTTTAAATGTTTAAATTTAAAAGATTTTTTTAATGAAATAAGGGTAGCAATAAGATTCTGAAGGATTAATAGGTAATTTCGTTCTCTGAAACAAGAGAAAAAATAAAAATAGGATTAAGAAATGGATAGCTAAAAATAAAATTAAAACTAGAGACCGTACAGGGAGTGTCGACGAGAATCGAGACCTCAAAAAATTCCTATCTCGATAACCGAGATTTCAATTAATATCTCGTTCGAGATATCGTCTCGGTCTCTAATTAATACTAAAAAGCCCTCAGAATAAGACAAATCCTAAAGCAAGAAGTTCAAAAGAATACATTCCTAGAAACGATAAACCAATTCCTACCACAAAAAATTATTTTTTGCACGTCCCACAACCCTTGTATGGAGGTTGGCTCTATCAAAACGAGCATTATCTCACCCAAATACCTACAATCTCTTAACAAAAACATACCACAAGCATCATAGACACACCAATTCCTTCCACAAAAATTATTTTTGCCAGGAATACGACGACCTCCAACCATGTTTTTAATCAAAAATATACAACAAAAAGTGATCACTTCATTGAATAGTTGAATTTAAAATTTGATTTTTAATTTCTAAAATTAAAAAAATAAGAGAATTCTTATTAAAAATATTATTAAAGCAATTTCTTCAAAAGCTTATTGGAATGTTTTTAAAAATTTCTCTAACAAACAAAAAACTAGTCATTATTTTTCCTTCAATAGAAAAATAAAATGTCAACTGAATATATTTTAACAGATACATATGTAAAGTAAAAGAAAATTCCTTACTTTTAAAAAAGAATTTAATAAAATAAAAATAAAATTTTTGTTTTTAAAACAATATAAAAATTAAAAAAAAAATTTTTTTGTTTACATATTTATTCAAAAACGGGAAATTTTAAAAATACAGAGAAGTTGCTGAACGACTTTTAAATGTGTTTTGTCTTTTTGTTTATTTACTGATTGAGAATTGAAAAAGAATTTTAAACAAAACACGCAAGGGCGTAGCCAGGGGGGCTTCTGGGACTAAAGCCCCCCCCCCTCGAAATGGGGAAAAGGGAAAAATTTGAGGAGGGGATTGAGCAATAAGTGAAATTTTTTCGCCTATGACCGCGGAGCTAAAAAAAATAAAAATATGGTTCAAAAAAATTGCGTTAAACGCCACACAATTTTGGCGCACACCCAATTTTAGCCCCCTGAAATCGACCCCCTAGCTACGCCCTTGAAAACACACACAAAAACTTTTTTTTCTGTTCTATTGAAAAAAATTTCTGTTCTATTATCTGTGGATTATTTTAAAAGAAAATAATTGAAAAAAAGAAAAGTGCTTAAAAATAATTTTTAACAAAATTTCAGCACTTTCAACAAAATATTAGAGAGAAAAATAAATTTTTTTAAATCAAAATTGAACTTTGAAAAAACAAAAATTATCTAAAATCAAAATTTTCTAAAATAACCTTTACATTTTTTAAGCAAAATTACATAAATGGCCAACTGGGTAAAGGTTTGTAGGAAGAAGAGAGAAAATTAGAAAAAAAACCGAATTATCCAAAAAATTCTCTTTTCATTTTTTTATTAAGAGAGAATCGTCTTATCTTCTTTTAAACTAAATATTTTTTATATTCACAGCAATTTGCCAATGATCAACCCAAGCAAAAGAGCCAACACGACGAACAATACAGCCTTAAAAATTTTTTTTGTGGTTATTAGAAAATCAAAAAATTTAAGAAATATAGCTAGAGTCCCTTAACGATACTAATCGTAAATTTTTGAATTAATCTTATAAACAGGCACAACTGGGTATTGGAATTATTATGGGTTCGGTTCAGAATCCGGAACCACACCCTTAGGCTACAAAATCAAGCCAAGCACTTGAAGGCCCCAGTACTTATGTTAACCAGAGACTCTTTTAGACTTCGTGGCGGTTCATTAAAAAATTAATGTCAAAAAATACTTGAACAATAGAAACACTGTCCTGTTGAGTAAGTGCTCCAACCGAACGTGAAGCACGAGCAAGTTGTTCAACTTTTTCCTAAAAGAATATTTAAAAGATTAAGTAAACAATTAAAAAACCATTAAAGCGAAATTTTCTTTTTCCAAATTTGCTTTCTCATCTTGATACATTTTTCGTAATTCTATTTCTTTTTGAAGAGCCGCTTGAGGATCAGCAGTAAACAATTCCTTTGAAAAATAATATGTTTAAAATTTTTGTTATTTACTCAAGATGCTTTTTTATATCGTTACTTTAAAAAATCTCATCCCCTTTATTAATAAAAATTCTCAAACTTATTAATACAAAGAACAAGCTCATAACCAGAATTTTTCTCGGGGGAATGGGGGGGGGGGCAGAGAAAGCATCATTCTTGGCGTCGAGTGTGCCAAAGATTTTGTTTTTTGCGCCACAGGTGAAAGTTTTGGGAATTTGGAGGCCCCTCCAAAATTTGTTCCTTTTCCACAGTTCGGGGGGGGCAGGGAATTCACCTCCCCCTACCTCCCTTGGTTACGTGCCTGCCAAAGAAATATTCCATATCAGAGGGAAATTAGAATTAAATGTAAGCAAACATAAACTCTGCCCACAATTTTTAATTAATTAACTAACCGATTCTGAAGACATTGTAGGAATATTCACCGGCTTTTCAGCCTGTTGTCGAAGCATTTGTTTAATTTCCGAATTTTTAGCAGCTGATGGATTTGCAGATGAATTAGCAGCATCACTTCCAAACCCCTGATCCGGAGAATATCCAAATGGCCACTTAAAATATTTGGATTCAAATTAAAATAAATTTCAAAAAAAACCTGGAAGATAACCCTTAATTTAGAATCCATAACTTGAGAAGCATCCACTTCCTTCCAAAACTGTTCTGGTGGTGTTGGCGAAGAACTAGTCGAATAATCAGCATTATCAGGAGCAAATGCACTCTTAAAAATCAGATTTTAATGAACAAAAAAACTCCCATTTTGATGACTAATAAGCAAAAAACTCGGAATCATGGATGGGACGAGTTGAAAAAAGTAAGGGGTTAGGGTTTCAATAGGACCTGATTCGGGTTCCGTAAAATCGATCCCTCATGGATAGGACGAGTCGAGAAAGTCGGGAGTAGGGGCTTCAATAGGACCAGATTCGGGTTCCGGACAACCCATCCCATTCCTGCTTCGAACGATTTATTTAACAAATTTCAAAAAAATCAACAACACATTTTTACCTGTATCATAAATTTGTGGCGGCTTCGTTCGCTTTCCAAAATCTCAGGCGAATCGATTGGTTGAAGCATTACATTAATTTGTGCTTTGTCCTTTGCCTTTAAATAAATTTCATTTAAAATTAATTTTCCAAAAAACCTTAATAATCCCAGAATTTGGACGAACACAATAAAATTTCGGTGCTGTAGTCTTGACTTTAAAGTAAACATCTCTAGACGAAGGATTCGCTAATGTAAGGTTTGTGTTGACATATTCAGTGAATGGACCTATTTAATAGTCAGGTAATTAATTTAAAAAATAAACCTGTAAATGTCAATTCAGTGCTAGGCTCGAGAATAAGAATTTGGGTTTGTTTTGTCATTCTTAAGTGTTAAATATGTATGTGATCCTGAAAATAATTTTTTAAAGGATTAGCTGAATCGTTTAAAAAAAAAGTCAAATCTTTGGCTATATTTAATTTTTCATTTACATACATATTATGATTTAAAATAAGCTAAAACAATAAAGAATAAACTATAACACGAACAAGACTGAAACCAAAAAATACATATTCTAAAAATAAGGAAAACGGAAACTATGGCGCGGGCCACTATGGCGCGACCACTAAGCGCAGGGCCATTATGGCGCAAGGCCACTACGGCGCAAGCCAAGCCCACCATGGCGCAGGCCACTATGGCGCGGGCCACTATAGCGCAAGCCCACTATGGCGCAGGGCCACTATGGCGCTATTTTTTTCTTACAGTATTACTTGGGAAGTCTTTAAGTCGATGATAAATCTTAAGAATCTCTTCGTCACCTTTATATTTTTAGAATGGAAAATGCAATTAAATATACAAGGAATAGGATTAAGCATGAACACAATGGGACACGCCCGAGTAGGCGCGGGCCAAGTAGGCGCGACCGAGTAGGCGCGACCGAGTAGGCGCAGGCCAAGTAGGCGCAAGGCCAAGTAGGCGCACGGCCCAAGTAGGCGCAAATCTTTAAGCTCAAAATATTCAAATTAAAAAATAATTCAGCATAAATATTCTTATGTTAATGAGTTAGAAGAAAGATTCTTGATGAAAATTAGAAGAAAGGTACCTATTTTAGAGGAAAGACACCTTAAATATCGATACCCTGTTAGTATACGTTCGTACTGTATGCATTAACTAGGCAGTTCAATAGTGTATATTTATTTTTTAATCCATTAAAAGCTTTTAATCATCAAACGACTCCTAACTGTGGCTGGACTTTTTTGTGAAACGCCTTGAAGAAGTTTTTCGTCGTATCTTGATTGTTAATTATACCTTTGTATAAACTTCATGTTCCCTTAAACTAGTTAGTTCCTAAAGGCTAACTAGTTAGTATTCATAACATTGGTAAGCCACAGGAATTATCAAAGCAGCAAGGCTTTCACTAATTAACAAACCTAGCCAGTAATCCAAAATTTATCAACAGCTAAGTATGGAGCTTTTATGAGAAAAATATTAAAAGAAATTTTTTTAATTTTATCAAAAATTAAAAACATCAACGAGCTTCACTTAATAAATTTTTTCCCTAAGAAGGGCAGTTTTGGAAAAGGTCCAGTGTCCACATAAAGTTGCTTGATTATTCAGCCAATTAATTAACAAAATTAGTTGAAGATTAACAAAAAAAATTTGAGCAAAAATTAGGAAATTTACCCTTGCGCCTACTTGGCCTTGCGCCTACTCGGCCTGCGCCTACTCGGTCGCGCCTACTCGGTCGCGCCTACTTGGCCCGCGCCTACTTGGGCTGTACCCGAACACAATGGATTGTCATCAGCATCGAGGTTAAACAGTCAACTTTAGAAATAAGGATTTGGAGGGATTAAAGTGGGCATCAAGGGACTTGTACATTACATCGAGAGATAAATAAGGATATCGATGGATTTGGAGGGATGTAAACAGATTTTAAGCGATCATGAGGGATATCGGTGGAGTACGAGCAAAAAATGCCTTTTTTACTTCAGCACGAAGTAAAAAAGGCATTTACGAAATTACGAGTATGAGCACATTTAAAAATTCCAACCACTGTTGGAGTCAAGACTTAAGACCAAAAGTCTTGGACAGCTCTATCATACATATATGATAAAATTTGAAATATTTCGGTACAACATACGATTTGTGATACTATAAAAGCACTCTGTTGTTTTCTTAATCAAAACTCTTCAAAATCAACCATCAATCATCAACAAATCTTCAATCTATTGGCCTTGCGAGTGCTCTCAACAGGACCTAACAACAACAAATGCTTCTCTTCAAACACGGACGGAATCGGGCTGCCGCGTTCGGGATGCTGCGGGAACGGCTTCTGCTGGTTTGTTGGCTTCTCTCTGCTATGGCGCTCATCCATCAAGTTGCTGGCGATGATCCTCCTCAACCTCCTGTTGAACCTCCCCCTGCTCCTGCTTCTGCTGCGAACACTGTTGGCTTTGGACGTCACACAAAATCTGGCGAGAAGGTCAAGTTGGCAAACGGCGAATGGAATCCAGCAACTAGCCCTGAAGATCTGAAGGCGTACAAGGAAGCTGGCGCCCTGAACCCGTGTGATGACATCGAATACGATAAGGAAACCGGGGACATGTGAGAGCTTTTTTTCTTTTTACACATTAAAATTATATCAATAAAATTATTTTTATTTCAGCATTGTCAAGTACAGGAAGGATGGGAGAACCAGAGATCAGGGATGCATGGTGGATCTGCTTACGAAGTACACAACATCAGTCGACTTCATCATTGGAATCAAGAACGGCAACGGCTTGGAGCATTGCTTGAAACCGACGACGACATATCCGAACAGCCCATGCAAGTGGTACCAGGTTCTTGGTTGCGGTAGATCAACGGAGTATCGGGAAAGCAGCTACGCAAACACGTTCGTTTTTGCAATGTTTTATGTTCTTTTAATCTTTTTAAATTTTCTTAGGTTGCCATTCATCTACAGTCGTACTGTCGCTGAGTTCCAGTCGATGCGTTACTTTCAACCGGCTACTGGTGATGGCTGCCCTGGGTCTTGCGGTGGTAATACGGTCTGTAGGAAATGGACTGGTCTTGCTGCGGGATTTGCCAAAAATGATGGCAAACTTCTGAGAACCGTTGCTGGAAGTAAGTTTATTTTGTTTTTTTAATTTCTTTGCTTAAAATCCCTTTTAGTCGGTGATCCCGGTGGTTCGTACTGTGGCTTGGCAAATTCAGTTGGGGAGAATGACGTCAGCTACAAGATAACAGTCGACAATGGAAATATGCATTGGTTCCAATCGGAGGGCTGCGCTTGGGAAGAAGGAGGGTTTCCAAGAGACACTCGATGCGTCAACAAGAATAGCATGGCACAAGAGCTGGGTGAAAAAATTACCTGGGAGACTGAACCTCCAAAAGGTGAATTCACACGTCTGTTCACCTTCGCTTTGCTTCCTCAAAAAGCAACCAGGGTCCACACCAGAGACAGGATCGAGGGTGATGGCCTTCGTGGACCGGAATGTGACGAGATCTACGTCAAATTTGTAAGATTTCTTTATTTTTTTTTGATTACCTGTTTTCAAGTCTAAATTTCTCTTTAACTTTCAGCCAGGCAGTTCATTCAAGCTGTTGGTGCCCGGCGGTAGTGCTCCACCTCAAACTGGTGAAACTCTTGAACCACCACCACCGACAGCACCGAGTACTCCACCGCCAGTACAGCCGGCCGAAGGTGGAGGAAGTCTGGGAATCGTCATCGTCATAGTCATCATCGTCGTGATTGTGTGAGTTTTTAGCTTTTTTCAAAATAATCATTTACTCAACTAAATTCCCTAAATTTATTTTCAGTGCTGCTGTTGGCGGTGTTCTCGTCTTCTTCTTCGTCATCAAGAAGAGTGAGCCCGATGCAGTTGAGGAAGACTATTTCGGCACATCGAAGGCTGGTGGAACGACAAAGACCAAAGCTGGAACAACGGTTGGGGCAACTCAGGCAAAGACTGGAGGGCTGACAACGGTTGGGACCAAAGCTGGGACAACTGCTGGGGGAACTGCAAAGACGGCCGCTGCGGCAACCAAGGCTGGGACGACTGTTGGTGGAAAGACTGCTGGTGGGAAGACTGCTGGTGGCGGGACGACGAAGAAGTGAGAAGAGAAGAATGATTGGACGTTGTGATGATTGAAGAATATGTCCAAATAAATAAATAAATATTTCTTTCTCCCTCCCCTCTCTATAGGCATTTCCCCCTTCTAATAATGAGCATCTCTCTAATAATTATTGTTGTGATCCACTTTTCTTCTATTCCCTATATATGTGGCACAACTATATATTTCCTATAATGCTATATATCGATGCTCTTGTATGTTGTACCTATATTTGTGTGTGTTCTCAACATATATATTATTGTTGCTGTTGATGTATTGTATATATTATAAATGTTGTAAATAAATGTTGGATATTGTAATTGAGTTTTGGATTGAATTAACAATGAGTTTTTTTCAGAAATAGGCCTAGGTTAATAAAAATTTAAAGTTAGGAAAGGTTTACTATATGAGAAATTGCTAGGTGATAAAGTACAACTTCCCCCTTTATATCAGTTGAAAAATATGCTCGATTCAACCTTTATTCCTTGCTTTTGAAATAGCCAACTCATTAAATCTTAAATTTTGAAATCCGACAACTAATCCATTTGATTGGTGTGAAATTTTACTTTAATTTACAAATTTTGTAACGAACCAAAAAACTTCATATTTCCTGTGTCGGTTATTTTGGGGGTAAGAAATGCCATAATGGAAAGGCTTACCGTATGAGAAATTGTTAGGCGCTAAAGTTGAATGTTAATAGCCGAAACTTCAGAAATAAGGATAGGAAAAAGTCGAGGTGGGGGATTTAGATTGTTCGGTCTTAACACCTTATTTACTCGATTCTTCATCCAAAAGACGATTTGAAAAATAATAATTCCACGGAGAACTTTAATTCACGGAAAGAAATTTTTGTAAATATTTAGCCTAATTTATTCTTAAATAAATAGACAACCTCTTAAATTTTTCCAAAACATTTTTATTTAAAAAACCCAATTAAATTACAAAGGTGTTTGAAAATTATAGGGAAGAGTAAAGAATTTACTTAAATCAAATAAAGTTTTTCTTTCCAATTCTTCAGGAATTAATTCATTTTCCTGTATTAATTCCAAATCATAAAATTCATTTAATTTAGCTTCAACTTGTTCAATTGTTGGCCTAATTGAATAACTTGGGGAAAAAGCCATTGGCTTCTTTGGGTCTATTTTGCCTTCTTGTCGACGTTTCTTTAATATTTCAAAATCATTTTCACATAAATAATCCTTAAAAAGGAAATTTTTTAAATTAGAAAGTAGAGTTGAAACACATTTTTAGACACCCCCAAAATTTAGGTACCCCAACATGTGATAGTCTTTAATAATTTGGTTAGCTAAAGCGTTACTCTAATTTAAGTTACCTCTTCATTATAATATGCTTTTTCATACTTTAAGGAGTATCCAAAAATGAGGTTTGGCTTTTAGATATTTACAAGTCTCTGGCCAATTATCCATAGAATGTAAGGGTGACGGATACATATATCCGAGGGACTCCCAAAATTTAAGTAACCCACAATTTAAGATACTTTTTAAAATTTTGGTTGGTCATTGAAAGGAAATAACTTGCAGGTGACAAGGTTAGAATTTTGATGATCTACTCATAGTATAGGATAGAAGAGTGAGTATGATATCACAATATTTATTTTTAGTGAGTAATGGGTGTCTTCATGGGAGGATATTTATAGAAAAATTCAGAATTTTATGAATCTTGTGCCTTGACATCCCCTCACGCCCTAAAAAGGCCAGTACCATTCTAGGCATGTAAAAAATCAAAACATCTTTCAAAATTAAAAATCACCTCAAAATTAATGTCTTCTTCAAAATCAAAAATATTATTTAAAAATATTGTAAGGAGAACCTATACAAAAATATAAATTTTTTAAAATCCTCAAAATAATTTAAACATTACCATATTAAAATGTCTATTAATCCCAACAGGTTTGTGATTAACTAATTTTAATAATAATCTATTGACTGCCTCCAATGGCCAATTATCCATAGAATTTGACATTTCTTTTAGTAAATTTTGAATTTTTAATAAAAATTTAAAGAAATAAAAATATAAATGAGGTATTCAAAAAAGGATAATACCGATAATTTCAATGTAAATAAACATTGAGTATTTTTATTTAACAGAAAAATAAGTACAATATACTATAAATTTTGGGGGGAAGACAAAATAAATAATTAAAGAGAAATAAAGTTCGACTTTTCTATAAAATTTGAATTTAATAAACCCATTAACATATGTAGTTAATTAATACTTTTATTTTGTAATTTTAAATTACAAGAAAATGAGGTAGGTATATCTATTAAATTATTTGATGTCAAAAAATAAATTAGCCAAAAGCAAATTTAGAACAGAATAGAGATCGAGATTTTTGAAAAGCTCGGACCTGTTCCTGGACTCTGGGGTTTGATATTGACCTGGGCCGGGTCCTGGGCCTGTAGTCCAGGAAGAACCCAGGCCCAGGAAACCCCCAGGAAAGTCAAAAAATGCCCGGACCTGGACTCTGTGTACAGGAAAGGCCTTGATCCAGGTCCAGCTTGATCTCTAGAAGAAGACAGGGATTTCTCAAAAAAAGGAATGTAAAACAAAGTTGCCAAATCTCGTTTAAACTGCAACAAAAATAGAAAAGTCTAACCAACTAATAATAATTATTAATTCTCTTTAAAAGAAGAATTTTAAAGTTTGTTGCCCTTTTTTCACAAAAATATAGGTAATATAAAAAATATTTCAACATTTTTAATGAACATTTTCATGTTTTTGTTGTTGTTCCTGTCTCTTTTTTGTAATAAAAGAATGAATAAAATTTAAAATATTATCTCTATTAATTGGGTATTTTATTGTATTTAAAACAGATTCTGCTGTTGAAAGAGCATTTGGATGGCTTTTATCTGTACGTTCACGCATAAATTCCCAACCACAAACACCTTTATCTCTCTAAAAAAATTTCAATTTTTTAAATTTCGGATCTCATTTTTAAATACCCCTAAATACTAAGGTTGGAGGATTCGGATGTCCAGATCTAAAAAAGTTGGGATATCCGAAAATACTAGAAAAGGATATCTAGGGGTTTCCCAAGATCCGCCAACCGTACTCAACACACCTCAATTTAAAATATTTTTTAAATTTGGTTAGCCGTTAAAAAAGATTTTTAATTTCGGATCTCATTTTTAGATATGCCTAACTACTAAGGTTGGGGGATCCGTTTGTCCGGATCTAAAAACCGAATATCCGAAATTATTCGGATAGGATATCGGACATCAGGGGATTTCCCATGCTCCGCTAACCCTACTCAATACACCTCAATTTAAAATATTTTTTTAAATTTGGTTAGCCGTTGGGAGGGGGAGTTGCCTACGAGATACTCCCAAATTTAATGTATCCCTCATTATAAAATATGATTTTTGTTTTTCAGATCCCAAGGGAGTATTTAAAGATGACTGTTTATTCCCACAAGAAAATTTAAACTTCACCACAAATTTGCATTCAATAATTTTCTTGTCATATTGCCTCATTTGATTAGTTACTTTAAGTAAACGTCCAAAAGGTCTATCCAAATGTAAAACGTGTAAATCCCCAACCCATTGAGTTAATTCTCCAGGACGCTGAATCTTTTTAATTTCTAAACGAAAATCAATTGTTGATAATTCTGGTGGTTTCCATTTCAATAAATAATTAAAACGACCAGATTCATAATGCTAATAAAATAAAAATTAAATAAGTTTTTAGTTTAGAATACATATTATTTTTTACACCAGACCTATCGTAGCTTAGTCTACCTCAGGGCTTAAAACTAGAATTATGATAGTCAAATATAGACAGGTTTAGCTGGATTAGATTATCAAAATTAGGCCGAATCTTCTGATACAAAAATGGACTTGCTAATCATTTTCACGTTTAGGTATGGCCTTGCATTGTTGCATTGGGAAGGAGGACTCCCAACTGGTCTGCTCCCTAACCTTTAAAAGGTCTCAGCAGGCTCGTAGCCAGGATTTTTTTCGGGGAGGGAATTCTTCTGCGCCGAAGAACTTTTACTCTTCCAAAATTTAATTCAAAATAATTTTAAAAAATTACTCGATTAACTGGCTGAAATACAATTCCATCAATTTCATGGCAACTGGTCACTGCTCCCAAAAATCCAGGTTGAAATAATTTATAAGTCGATTCGATAGGCCAAAAACTTTTTCTGCGAACACCTATAGGCTCAGAATTTCTATTAATTATACCAGCCTTAAAAGCTTCTATTCGCGGGCTAATTAATTCTTTTTCAATTGCTTCAAATCGGACACTGAATTTTTCTTTCTTCATATTAAAATTCTGAAAAATAATTAAAATTAAAAAAATCAAATTTAAAGATAAATAGTCGGACTACCTAATTATAAGATAAATCAAATGTTAGATACATACACTCAATCTAGGATATATTTTCTAAAGTTGGTTAATCCTTCGGTCCATATTTAAGGTACACCTAATTATGTATAAGGGGGGGGGGGCTACTAAAAGGCTACCACTGGATTCTTTTCGATATTTGCATAGACGCAGAACAAGAGTGTGTTACTTAACCATATAAGCATAATAAAGACAAATATCGAACAGGTGTTTTTGTCCGATCCCCACTACCACATATTCTAATTTTTACCCCCAAATGTTCAAAAAATTCCTTACATTAAAATAAATTAAATCGTAAATAAGTAAACGAGGTATTTCTTTCCCTTCAAATGTATCAATAACCATTTCTGCATCAACAAGAGTTTCTTTTAAATAATCATCATCAGAAATTGGGCATTTTAAATGTGAAAGACATTTTGCTTTTGCATTGAAAAAAGTAACATTATTTATTTGAAAAGGATTGTTATCACGATCAAAAGCAAATACACGATTAGGTCCATCAATAAGTACCAAATATCTGTTGAAAATTTTTTAGTTTAAATTTATTTTTTCAGTCGAACCACGCTTTTAGATACTCTTGGGGCTGGAGGATAGTCTCTAATGAGGTTGCCAAAATGGACCGACTCGGAACGAAAGATCGAGTCGGTCCCAAGATATTTGACTCGAAAGTGTCTTGAACCGGCCCGACTCGATAAAAACAAGCCCGAAAAAATGCCTCGACCGTCAGCCCGACTCGAAAACGGCAACCCTAGTCTCTACTAATGAGGAGTAGCTTAAATTGGGAGTATCTCTTAAACAGTTCCCCGCCCCGTGGCCAACCAAAGCTTAAAAAAGTAATCTAAATTTGGGAGGAGTGCTAAATATTGTGTCTATCTAAAATTGAGGTTCAACTAAATTTTTTAAATTTACCTAACACCATCAGCCTTCCATGAAACCATATAAGGTTCCATAGCAAGAAATTGAATATTATTAGTACCATATGGACCTTCCAATGAAACTGGCTAAAAAATACTAAATTTAGAAAAAAAATTTTTTTAAATAAAAATTACTTGACTTCCAGGAAATCCTTTCCCTTTATATCCACAATAATTGATAGCCTTTAAATTTAAAAAAATTTATTTGTTTTCCCCTTAAGTTTACCTGATTTTGAACACTTTTACGTAAATCAGGATCATCAACAAAATTTACATTGGGTACTCTTCCATCCATAAATAAAGGGGCTGTTTTTGCTTTTTTACCTTTCAAAAAAAATTTTTTTCTCTTAATTATTTTTTTTAGATTTTTCTTCAAAAAAATACCTGAAGAAGAAGAATTAGAATTAAATACTAAATTGTCAATATTTAAATTTGAAGTGCTTGGAGAAACTGTTAAATCATTTTGTTGTTGATGTCCATTATTATTTAATTCCTTTTCCTCCCCAATTGTAAAAATTCCATCCATTGTAAATTCCTCATTTGATAAAGGCCCATTTTCCCATAGAGGACGACCATGAGACTTTAAAAGAAATTTTTTCCAAAAATTATTTAAAAAAAAAACTTCAATTTTTTCATCATCTTCATCCCCAAATCTTTGATGTAATTCATCCAAATATAATTGTTTGTAAATCCCCATAGGTCGACAAGAAGCAAATTCTTGAACTGCCATTTCAATACTTAATCCATCTCGTTTAAATAAATATGAAGCAATTAAAAAACCAGTACGATTCTGATTGAAAACGAAAAAAATTAAATTTTTTATGAGTTTAAAACGGAAAAGAAATGGATACTCGTTATTAAAAATCTAACAAGGAACCATATCGAACTGTCAGAAAAAATTTTTCAGCTTAATTTATACCGACGTGTAGAGCAGGGTCGATAACCTATTACCAATTTTTGCCTTTTTTGACCCTGCCTCCAATTTCGAAAAGTTATAGGGGTTCAAAGTTTCGAACTTTGGAGCGATCAAGTCTCTTTCATTTTTCCTATTAAAGAGAAGTAGGAGAGCTCTGACTGTGAGCGGAAAGTTACAAGAACATTTTGTAGAAGAGGGTTCGTAAAAGAAATTAAATAGCATATTTAAAACTAAAATATATGCATAAACATTCCCAGCATTTTTAAATAATTTTAGTTTTCTAAAAACTTACAAATCCATGTGTGCAGTGAACAACAACAATATCATTTGGATGTTCCTGAAATAAATTATAATTAAAAAATTATTTAAAAACCTCAAAGAATTTGTCAACAATTCCAATAAACCTATCAGTTTGTTCAACAGTAGGTGCTTCTCCATGACCAACCATTTTAATTTTCTCATATTTACAGGGAGGTGGAATCTAATAAAAAATAAAATTAAATAAATTAAAGATTTAGATAATAGAAAATGCCGACATAAAAAATAAATTAATAATTTTCAAAACTCGGGTTGGACATTCTCTGATTTATAGTTGGACCTCAATATAAGATCTACCTTTGGTAAGAAATTAATTAACGATTTCTAAAAATATATCTTTTAAATTTGGCGACATTGGGTTGGGGGAGCTGTGTGTATTTAATTTAATTAACTGGATGAAAATAATATTTTGAGGATTCAAATAACCTCGCTTTTTTTATCCTATTCTATAATGCCTATGTTTTTACAGGAGTAAAAAAATATAGGCAGCTCCCCCAACCCAATGTCGCCAAATTTAAAAGATACCTATATCTTAAATTGAAGTGTATCCATTATCGGAAATAAATAAAAATGAGGTAATAAATTTTTTTTCCAATATGAAAAATAAAAATTTTTTTTCCAATCTTTTGACTGAGTAAAATTAAAAATATTATTCATAAAGGAATCAACAATAAGATATATGTATAAAAATAAATTAAATAAATAACCTCGCTAGGTTGATAAAAACTAGTAGAATTTGTTAAATCAATCCATAACAAAATTTGAGCACCAGGATTTACATCACGCAAAGGAGTGCGAAAAACCATGTCTGGATGAAAATAATATTTTGGGGATTCAATTAAATGGTCGTAGGAAGTATCCAAAGGAGTTTTCATTGGAAGAAATTTTCTTGCTACAACCTAAAGGCTCCCGGAGATTTGGGGAGTGGACATTTGGGGAGTGGACAATTGGGGAGTGGAAATTTGGGGAGTGAGCGGACATTTGGGGAGTGGACAATTGGGGAGTAGACATTTGGGGAGTGAGGATTAAAAAAATAATTTAAAAATAGATTTTTTGGACAATAAAAATAATTTATACACAGTGAAGGTGTTTTCGTGGAGTTATAAAGGGTAAAATTCAATTACCCTTTATCCCCCACAACGTACTAAAAAGTGGACCCATTACCGTATAAAAAACCCATTTACCGTATACCGATTACCGTTTAGCTAAACGGTTTTTTGCTACCCTAATTTCTAGTGAAACCCTGACCCCCCGACCGAAAAGTCAATCCCGACTCCGAACCACGACATGCATTCCCCGGCACACCCCGATCACCTCACACCAGCCCCCGAAGGGAGGTTGCTATCCTACTTTTATGGGTTACTCAACCGGCTACAGACATAAAAATATCTTTAAAATCTTTGAAACTCCACAAAACCGCCTTCACGTGTGTATAAATTATTTTTATTGTCCGAAAAAATCTATTTTTAAATTATTTTTTTTAATACTCACTCCCCAAATGTTTACTCCCCAATTGTCCACTCCCCAAATGTCCGCTCACTCCCCAAATTTCCACTCCCCATTTGTCCACGCCCCAAATGTCCACTCCCCAAATTTCCGGACACGAACCTAAAAATTGAAAAAAAGAATTAACATTCAAAAACCAAATATCAGGAATTATTAGAAAATTAACGAAGATGTTGGGAATTTGCCATTATGTTAAAGAAAAACGATACAGCAAAAATTTAAAATAAATTAAGAAATCGAACAGGAATCAAACCAGAACCGTTTGCCTTAATTGCTAGCACAGCAACGGACCCATGGCATTAATCTTCTAACTTAACTTTTTTTCTAATAAGGTTATCGGATAGTTGGAAATCTTCGGATATCCGGATCCGGTATCCGAACCGAAAAATTTTTTTCAGATCCGGATCCGCAACCTTATTTACTAAACTCTAACCCCTCCCTTATATTATAGGTAATTTGAAACATTAAAATGGCTAAACCTTTCCCATAGGCGGACAATAAAGCCAACGTGCAGGCAAACGAGTTTTCGGCTTGCTCCATTGATTATTTGTTGATTTAACATTTCCTTTATCACCATTCACACCTAAATTTTAAATTCAATTCGTTTCTTTCAAAGTTTTTAAAAAACTTACAATTTTCTTGACGTATTCGCTTCGACATTCAAAAAAGTTTACACTCTAAAAGACTTCAAAAACGAAAAATTATAAAAATTAGAGGTATTAAAAAAATTCAAAATTTATTTTTTTTTAAATTTACTCCAGATATTAAATTTATATTTAAAAATAAAAACAAAAAATGAGAACAAAAAATAATCATTTGACTGTTTTAATTTGCATTCTACTTTTGTATAAATCCCCTCCAAGTGCCTGTCGTTGTAATTCATCTTCAGAATCTGAATCCCCTGTATTATTAAATGTTCTTTTTCTTGAACCAATTATTGATTGTTGCTGTTGTTGATATTCAGAAGATGCCATTAACTAAATTATTTAATGTTTTTTGGCTAAACAGAATTTAAAATTTCGATTGTTAAAAAATTAAGGCTATAATTACATTTAAGAAAAATTGTGTAGTTTATTAATTAGCATAGGTCGGAGAATTTAAGAATAAGTAAATGGTTAAGTAAAGTCATATGGCGGCAGAACCGTTGGAAACCAAAGGATGACCGTTTGAAACCAAAGGAAGGGACAGAAAAATGCATCTTGAGAATGCCTTTTGCGGACATGTGAAATGCGAGCTGGACATTTACCACAACAAAGCAATCCCAAAATAAACTTTCTTTTAATATACTTCCTAGATTAACACTAACAATAAGACATCTGTTCTCAACTTTTTCGAAAAGTCTGAAAAATACTCGGATCTATAAAAAGCCTATCGCATTTTTCAAAGTTAATCTAAAAATTATTTTAATTAAATAAACTAACCACAATAGGATCTGTTGTTGTATTTAATAATTGATATAATTCTTTTTTTACATCTGCTGCTCTATAATCATCAAATGTTGCATTAGGATCAAGTGACGGCCCTTCTTTTAAATTGACTCTTGGGGCTAAACAAAAAATCTTTAAAAATTCCCTTAAATTCAAAAAACTCACGTTCCCGATTAAAACTTCCCAAACTCTTCACCAATTCTTCAATATCCACATACGGACCAGTAAATGACCTTGGAGGAGGCAATAATTGTAGTAATTGAGAAATAATTAGAGGCGGGGGAAATACCCCTAAAAAATTAATTTTAACAAAAAATAAACATTTTAAAAAAACCTCCAGGCACTGGATGATATGCTGCTGGGGGAAGTTTTGGTTTAAACGGCAACATTTGGCTAGTATCCGGTCTAGCATAAGCAGCCCCCAATTCTAGCAAATTTGTACCAATATTTGTGGAGCTACTAATATTTTGAATTTGGGTAGGTTTTAAATGACCATTTTGTGTTGCTGAAGAGGGAATATTATGTGAATGTCCGGATAGAGAAATATGTTTGGAACATTTCTTTAAAAAATAAAATTTTTAATTAAAAAAAAATAAAAATTTTTAGTTAAAAAAATAATAATATTTTTATAAAAATAATTTGATAGAACAAAAAATAAAATTATTAAAATAAATAAATTTGGATAGCTAAAATTGAATAAATAAAAAAATTCTATTAAAATTCATTTTTATTATCCAAAATTATTTTTAGAAAATTTTTGAATAGGATTTTTGATGAGGCAAAAAATTTTTATAAAAATAAATTAATCGAATATATTTTAAAATCTTTAAGTGATGGAATTTTAATAAGATACCTATTTTATGGTGTTTTTCATAAAGGCGGTTTTATTATATATTCTACAAAATTATTTTTATAAAAGTTTTGGGTAAGACTTTCGAGGGAATATATTTTAAAAATTCTTTTAGGGATGATAGAATAGCTATTTTATGGTTTAAATAAATTTTTTGAAATAACAATTTTTTCATAAAGGAATTTTATTAAATATTCTACAAAATTGTTTTTATAAAAAATTTTTACTAAAATTTTGCCTAAAATTTTATGAAAATAATTTGTGGAATAAAACTAAAACCGATGTCATGGAACCCCGGGTATGCTAGCTATTCATTTAGAAACTAGGTTTTAAATTTATTCGGTCAATTTATTTCTCGAAATTTTTTTTGGCCCCTCCAAACATTACCCCAAAATTTTATAAAAATAACCACGTGGAATAAAAATTAAATCCCTTTTCTAAAAAATTCTGTAAAATCCAGATTTTATGAATTTATCCGTAAGAGGATTTTAAGATATATTGGGGCAAATTATTTTTCAAAATTTTTGGCCCCTCCAAAATTTTATGAAAATAATTTGTGGAATACAGTATAAACCCCTGTCATGGTACCCAGGGATTGCTAGCTATTCATTAATAAACTGGGTTTAAAATTTATTTGGGTAACTTATTTTTCGAAAATTTTTTGGCCCCTCCAAACAGTTCCCCAAAATTTTATGAAAATAATTTGTGGAATACAGTATAAACCCCTGTCATGGTACCCAGGGATTGCTAGCTATTCATTAATAAACTGGGTTTAAAATTTATTTGGGTAACTTATTTTTAGAAAATTTTTGGGTAAGCTTTTTGATGAGGCATTAATTTCTTATAAAAATAAATTAATCGAATATATTTTAAAATCTTTAAGTGATGGAACTTTAATAAGATAACTATTTTATGGTGTTTTTCATAAAGGCGGTTTTATTATATATTCTACAAAATTATTTTTATAAAAATTTTTGGTTAAGACTTTCGAGGGAATATATTTGAAAAATTCTTTTAGAAATGATAGAATAGCTATTTTATGGCTTAAATAAATTTTTTGAAATAACAATTTTTTCATGAGGGAATTTTATTAAATATTCGACAAAATTGTTTTTATAAAAAATTATGTAATAAAATTTTCCCGAAATTTTTATGGAAATAATTTGTGGAATAAAACTAAAACCCCGGTCATGGAACGCCGGGTATGTTAGCTATTCATTTATAAACTAGGTTTAAAATTTATTGGGATAATTTATATTTCGAAAAATTTTTTTGGCCCCTATGAAATTTAATCTAAAATTTTATAAAAATAAGTTGTAGAATACAAAATAAAATCGTGTCATGGAACCCCGGGTATGCTAGCTATTCATTTATAAAAGAATTTTAAAATTTATTCGATCAAATTATTTTTATAAGAAATTTTTGTCCCATCAAAAATCTTTCCAAAATTTTTACAAAAATAATTTTGTAGAATATATTAAATAAAATCCTATTATAAACCCCAGTTAGTCTAGCTATATACATATATATTCTAAAGAGTTTTAAAAAATATTCGGTTAATTTATTTTTAGAAAAAAATTTTTTTTAATTAAAAATCTTAGAAATTATTGGGTAAATTGAAATAAATTTTATTTTATGAAAAAACTTACCAAAGAATAACCCATTAATTTTAATTCATCCAAAGTGCATGGAGTCAAATTTAAAAATTTATAACGATCAATTAACCAAAGGGAATTGTGTTCTTCACTATGAGGATTTGTTGCTCGCCTTCTTTGATCAACATTTAAAATGCTTGTTAAATCACCAACTTGAGATTCAAAGTCTAAATATTTGTCCCATATTTCCCTAAAAATTAGAACAATATTAAAATAATTATTTATCACTCTTATTCTCTGATTTTTTTATTTTAATAATTTTCGAAAATATAAAAAATATTAATAACACTTTTTATTTATTGTTTTTTTGATTTTTTGACTTTTTTGGCATTTTTATTTTATTATTCTTGCTTATTTTAATAGAATATTCCTTTATTAAAATAATCTTAACGAATAACAAAGGGAGTTTTTAGGTGGGTTAGTTTATTAGGTTAATTTTCTGATTTCTTGGCGTCTTGATTTTATTATTGTTGCCTATTTTAATAGAAAATTCCACTCTACAAAAAATAATTAAAATTATTTTAAGAAAGATTTTTTGAGAACAATTTTCTAGTAATATAAGCAAAAATAATAAAATCAAAAAGCCAATTATTTAGAAAATAGAAATAATAAAAGTATCTAAGCTAATCGAACTAATGGCTCATAATGAATATTAAAATATATTCTGGAAATTTATTTTAATAAAAATTTGTAGAAAAAAATTTTCTAGTAGAATAAGCAAAAATAATAAAATCAAAATGTCAGAAAATCAGAAAATTAAGATAATAAACTAACCCACCTAAAAATCCCCCTGTTATTCGTAAAGATTATTTTAATAAAAACTTATGGAGAAAAATTTTCTAGCAAAAGAAACAAACTTTTTTCACTAGGTAATGGAATGCTAATGATAATTATTTATATAATTATTTGAAATTATTTGAATAAAATGTTTTGAATAAATGTTTGAATAAATGGAAAATTTTTTTTGATTAAAATAAAGAAGGTAAATAAAATCTAAGAATCAAATAATAAAATAAACTAGAAAAATATTTTTAAATAATAATTATTTACCCAGAATTTTCAGGTGCCAAAGCATTTTCAGAATTTAAAAGACGTTCAAAAACTACTCGAGTATTTGTTTCTTCTTAAGAAATAAATTGAAAATAATTATTTAAATAAACAAAACCATTCAAATTAGAAAGAAAATCAACATAAGCAAGTGCATATTCTGGATCTTTGGAAAACTTTCTTAAACCCAAATCGAATATTCTTTTTGCTATTTCTGGTTCCTAAATAAAGAAAGGTTTTAAAATAAATTACTAATATTTCATTAAATAAATTTTAAATGGAGAGGAAGCAAAAAAAGTGAAAACATTTCAAATAGTAGAAAAGCTATAAAAAAGCTAAAGCTATAAAAAAATTATCAAGAAAAAAATTAAGATTTTCCGAAAAAGTTTACAGATTGATTTTGAAAAAGAATAGGGTTGTTGGTCTCACCAGATTCTTCGGTTAACTGAAACCGAGCCGACAAACCGAAACGAAAATATTCGGTTGGGTTTGAAACCCGACAATCCTAGAAAAGAAGGAAAAGTCAAATGCAAGCTAAAGTAATTAACCTTCCTATCCGAAAGTTAGGGAAAACATTTTTAAACAATAAAAACCCTTCCTATACAAAATTTTTAGAATAATTTTATTTATTTAAAATAAAATTCTTGCCTTGCTGCAATAATATTCCATATAAGCAGCAGCAACATAAACATGAAAATTATTACGTTTATCCTCTCGTGCACGTTTAAATACTAGCCTAGCTTGTTTTAATCCTTCTGTTCGTCTAATAAATTTCATTAATTGAATATATGTCTAAAAAAGAAAATTTTTTGAAAATAAATTTAACTAATTTTATTTACCAAACTTGGGTCAACACTTTGCTGAGAAAGTAATCGATCATATATTTTCTTGGCGTTGTCATATTTTCTTCTCTCTTCTTCAAAGTCAGCATAAGCAAAATGCAACATCTGATTTGATTTCATTAGGCCAGATACTGCTTTTTCATATAAATCTTAAAGAAATTTTTTTAGATTATTAGCAGTAGAGCTACTTAATTTAGAAAAGAAACCATTTCAGCAAGGGCGTAGCCAGGGGGCTTCTGGGGCTATAGCCCCCCCCCCTGAAACGAGGAAAAGGGAAAAATATTGTGAGAAAAATGATAGAAAAAATAAAATTTTCTCGCTCATGACCTTTTAAAAAATTGACTCCCTGTTTACGCCCTTGTATTTCAGGTCCCAAACCCAATCTCTCATTATCTTGTAAATTTTGGAGAAAAAGAACTATAACAAAAATAATATTTTAATTTCCATTATTTAAAATATTTTTGTGATTTTTATATTCTATAGTTAGAAAGGTTAAAATTTCAGCTGGTGATCTAACAAGTATCATGAATGTTATAAAAGCCATCGACAAATAAGAATTTAAAAATTCTATTAAAAACAAAAAATATTTACGGATTATATCATTGTACATAGCCGTTGAAAGTTTTACATCACCCTTTTCAGCCAATCTTTGTGCTGCTTGTTGTTGAAAGAAAGCAGCCTCATACCAAATATCAGGCATGTAACCAAGACATAAAAGTGCTTGTTCATATGAATAAATTACTAAAAAATGTTTTTTTTAATATTCACAGAAATGCTAGAAAAAACCTCTTCTTGCATATTGCCCATATTCTTCAGTATTTAAAGGATTACTTTTCTCCCATTGTATATATTTCCTCCAAAGTTCAGCCTGTTTTATTTCTGTTGTAGTTCCTCTTGGTGGAATTGAAATGGCTAGAAAATTCATAGAGAAAGATCTGGAAGATTTAAAAACCTTGACGATTAATTCCACGTACTATTTGTTCATATTGTTTTGTTACTTTACAGGCATTCTGTTAAAAATTAAAAAATTTACAAGGCAGGCTAAATTAATGAGAAAGCGAATAGAAAATTAATAAAACTGACAAGGAAACAAAAATTTGGTAATTTTTTGGTACTAATCGATAGAGGACCTTCGATTTACTATTGCGTTCATTGTGAATAAAAAATGAACCAACCAGATAATCCTTTTTAATGTCAGAAATCATTTTCTCAGCCAAAGCTGGATTTACACTCTATACAAATTTAAAATTAACAAATTTTTTTAAAAATTAATCAAAAAACCTTTTCAAAAGAACAATAATCATTCCATAATTGTTCAATATTTGCCATCGGCGTCACCAATCCCTTTTTAAAAATTTTTCGAATTGCTGTAATTTTTTGATTCTCTGCATATTGTCCTTTGACTTCTCTTTAAAAAATTGACTAGTTTATTAAATAAATTTTTTGAATCTTACTGTTGTTTAAGAAATGTGACACAATCATTGTAGATTGAATAACTGAAATGAATTTAGAAAAAATTTTTTAATGGTCAAAAAACCTCTGAAAATCCATTCCAACTTTATCAATTGCAAAATCATAAGTTTTGGCCATCTGCTCACGAAAAGAAGCCAAATGTCCCTTTGTTTCCCGGACATAAAAAACGTAGCATTTCCAAAGGTCTACATTGAGAACTCGAACCAAACATCTTTCAAATATCTTCTCGACATTTTCAAAATTCTTTGCTCTCAATTCATGTTCAATATAAGCTTTCCAATAGCGGCCAGCATTGTTAAATTGGCTAACGAGGCGTTCATAGAAACCCCGAACCTGGTCAATTGGACGGGCCTGAAACAATTTAAATTAGATGATAGCTCATTATTTAAAATAACCTGTGATTCACGTAAGAGTAAATTCCAAGCATCCACATCAAATGGATTCAATTCAATTCGACGTTCCGGACTAAGAACCATTTAAAGAGTATTTCAGTTAAATTCGACTTCAGCTTGCGCCCTTTATTTGCAGTTCCAATCAAAAAAAATCAATCTTAATTAAACAGAAAAAATATTAGTAAGTATTAAATTGAAGATAATTTTAATAAATTGTGTTCGAAAACAAATTCAAAAGAAAAATGTAATTAAAATAAAAATTTAAAATATTTAAACTATAAATCAACAACAATAACAAATTAAATTATTGAAAAATATAAAATATCAATTTCTCTATTTCTTGAAAGAACGTAAATTCATTGGATTTTTGTGGATTACCCTTGGCTTCATTTCCTCGTGGCCCACAAGTACAATATGTTTTTGACCATTTGCAGATTTACGGTTCCAGAATGGTTCAATACAGCGATCCGGAATTTTTGTCAGAAAATTATTATTTCCAACATTATCAGGGAAAGGCATTGCATAAATATTTAGTTCCTATAATTTTAAGAAAATTTTTTTAATTTTTATTCGAAAAGAAAAAACCTCATTTAAGCCATTAATCTGTATAAGATAAACTCGTCCTTTATTTGTGGTTCCAATCAATTGATGAATACTAGCCTGTTGACCATTTTCAACAAATTGACAATTTAAATTCGAAATCCATTCCAAATCTTTACATCCAAGATTAGAAGCTGATTTTACTAATTTTTGACCATTTGTAACGTTATATAAAACAAAATGTTGTTCCAAATCTGAAGACAAAAGGACAATTGTTGTATCATCAATAAATAGACAGTCAAAAAAGGAGATAATTTTTGGAGGTGCTGAAGGTAAAATTTGGAGTTGTTGTACTGCAAAAAGAGACGAAGGTTGTTTTACTTTAGGATTATTTTGTGGTTCATTGTTTTCGTCTCCGATTATTATTGACTTTGCTTCTTTCGATTGATCTAAAAACAAAGGTTAATAATAAAATTATGGTCTAAAATCAGCCGCTCCAAAATACTGAAACTTTGATCAGCTATAACTTTTCGAAATGGGGGTTAGGACCAAAAAACCCAAAAATTGTCAATAGGTTATCGACCATGCTCTACACGATGGGCAGTTCGGAATGTTCCCTTGTGAGAAAATTTAGATTTTTTTGAATTCATGAAATTGATAATAGAGAAAGACGTCAATAATAATATAAAAAATACCAGTTATTTCAAGATCTATTGGAGGATCACTATTAAGATTGATTAATAATGAGCTTCCTTCTGTTGTTAGTGCAAATAATGACGTTTCAGAAGGGTTAACACAAATTTTTGTTATGTGACCAAAATCGGCTAAAAAATTTTTTTAATTAAATTAGATTTTAGTTGTAATCCTCACATTTATGTGTGATCGTAATTAACGTTTTTGTGGCCAATTCAAGTCTCATTAATTGATATTCACCGGTAGCATAATATAAATAATTGTTTGTACATTGCATTGCAAAAACTGTTTTGCCTCCTTTAAATTCAAAATCTTCTTTAGAAATTAATTGATTACTCCAATATTGTTTAATTAATATATTTATATCTGAATTATCTTCCTCTTTTTCAATATTAATTTCGTTCTTTTTATTTTCTATTGCTCTCTTCAACAATTCTTCAATAACATTTTCATGTAATTCTATGACAGATATTGCCCCTTTTATTGTGCCAGCAAAGCAAATATATTTCCCATTAGGTGAAATGCATGACTTTAAATAACTTATTGTTAGTTTTATTAGAATAATTTTTAGCTCAATCAGTTAGAGAAATGCGCTAACCCATGGATTTTTACTCTGAACCTAAAATAGACTTATTGTGTTTAAGCCGTTATATCCCTCAACTGGGACACGCCCAAAACGGCGCGAGGCCATAAAGGCGCAAAGCTATAACTTGCTTCAAGATTTCCTCATCTTACCAAATCAAATGATTCCTTTCATCGAGCTAACATAAGCAAATTGGTATCAAAACAGTTCAGGGCAAGACATTTTCTAGCAAGTTATGGCTTTGCGCCGTTATGGGCTGTACCCCCCTCAATTAAAGTAGCTTAACCCCTGTTTAAAACTGGCCAGTCAGTTTCAGCTAACAAAAATCTGAAGTTCCCTATTTTAAGAAACTAATCCCAAAGATTTAGAATAATTCAGAAACCAATAGAAAAATTATTTTGATAACTATGAAGAAAAATTAAAAACCTGTTTAACAAATCCCATGTCTCCGCTTTGAATTCTAATTAACCTCCTCGGGTTTAAAACACACTTTAAATATCTTAAATTTAAAAAATCGATCAAGAATCTTAAGAAAAAATATTAACCTGCTTTGTTTAATATCAGAAAAATCCATGACCGAAGACTGATCTGGTTTGTACCATACATCAATGTAATTAAGCTGTCTTGTAATTATAAGACCACGATCAGGCGAAAAATCACATTCTGGCTAAAAAAAAGGAAAAAATATTAAAATTTACTATATTTTAAAATATTTACTCTTTTCTGAGGTTTGCAACACAAAATTCGATTAGACACAAAAAAGCCCTCAAAACCACCAGAAACTAGCCATTGCCTATTTAATGCACACAACGACCGAACATCTGTGACAAATTAAAAAATATTTATTTTTAATTTGCAAAAAAACCATTGGTATGAAATTGACGTTGACCAACCATAAGCCAGCTCATAGGATCCTTGAGATAAAAAAATAGAGAAATTTATTTTCAAAATTTTAATCATCAACATAGGGAAAATAATGTAAAGTTCAAAAATGATGTAGCGACCTGACCTCTCGGGGTCTAGTATGTAGGGGATCGGAGTTTGCCGGGGAAGGCATGTCGAAGTTGACATTTCGGTCAATGTACGGAGAATCGGGTTGCTACTCTATTCAAAAATATAAAAATTACGTTTTTCTTTTTGCCCGTCATAGCGAAAATTTGTATCCTAAAATCAGCACCAGAAGCAAACACGTTTAAATAATCTGTAGCTATTGTTAAAATATGTGCTTGATGAGATTTGAAAATCTTTAAAATTAAAGAATAATTAATTTAAAAAAAATTTAAAAAAACCTTATAAACAACACCATTTGATGGATTGTAAATGGTTACTTGACCTATAGAATCACCAACAAATAAAAAATCATTGCTAAAAAAATTTTGAATTTAAATTAAATGAAAATCTTACAAAAAAAGAAGTGACCAAATAATTATATTAGCTTGTTTATTATGAGGTAATTGAATATCTCGACGAGAAATAATTTTCATTTGATCCACATTTTTTTCATTATTTAAAGTAATAATAGTTAACCAATTAACCATTCCAATTGCAATACTGTGAGGTTTGTGATGCTGTTTTGGAGTAGCTTTATACCTTAAAAATGGGGAAATTTGATTAAAAAACTTAATTTGAAGTTTAATCAATAAAAACATGTCTTAGAAAAAATAATCAACGAGGACAAGGTTCGAACTAAATTTTTTAATAGGAATTTTAGACCTTGAGAGTCCTGGGTATTTTGGCGTGTTATCGAGACAGCGGAGAACACATCTAGAGAAGTGGTTTTTGTAGAAATCAATTCATTAATACAAGGGATATTATAGAAATTAATAAAAATTAGAAAAGTTGTGTGTTACACGAAGACAAAAACTAAGGACAGAACAAACAAAAAATAATTCGAGAACAATAACATAGACGAGACTAGGAAACGAGCAACAATACTCAAATTTAAATCACAAACATGGTAATACAGCTAAAAAGGAAATATTTCGAACTGTGACAAAAAATTTTTATAACTTTTCGAAATGGTGGTCAGGGGAAGAAAAGAAAAATAAATAATAGGTTTTCGACCAAGCTCGACACGGTATAACTTTTGTTTAAAAATTTTTGGTCACAGTTCGAAATGTTCACTTGTAAACATAAAATAGGCAACATAAACAAATCTTTGAAAAGGACAAAAAAGCATAAAAAACAAAAAGGCTTATGCTTGTCAACCATAATTTTTTAAATAAAAATTAAGAACCTGCACTTGGTACAAGCCAAAGAAGTTGGATAACGATCAGAATCAAAATTTAATAATTTTTTAGTTGTAAATGTTGGAATCCGATTAATTCTTTCAGAAGTAAAAGAAGTATTTGAACTGCTGTTAGTTACTGGTTTTTCATCCAAATCGAGAGAAATATCAGTTTCTGCATCATTTCTTCCAAGTAAAATTAATTGACCAGTTTTACTAATAACACAAAAGTTTGCATGATCGAAACGTGCCATTGAAACAATTTCTGTTGGGCAAAGTTGAATTCGCTGAAAAAATCTTTGTAAATTTAAAGTAAAAAAAATCGAACCCTAAATCGAGTAGTAAAAGGAGAAAAGAAATATAATTGGCCATATAATCCACCAACAACAACCCAAGTATCAATCCACACAAGTGAACCAAGCGAGTCTAATAAAGGTATGCTTTTTTCAAGAAAAAGAAGTGGTGGATTTGAAGCATTGTAGAATTCAACAAAAGACAAAATACTTAATTTTTTCTCATCCTCTGTTGAAGCAGAACTAAAATTGAAGTTAATTAAATATAAAACAGTGAAAACGAGATAAGCCTCTCAGAAATTCTACATCAATTAAATAAGATATTTTACGAATTTTGACGGTTAGAAAAAGAGGTCGGGGTAGTGTCGTACAAGAATTGAGATACGAAAAATATCAATTCTCGATAATCGAGATTATATCGATAAGTCTCGTTAAAACTCGATCGACGAAGAATTTAACCTACGAGAATTGAGATCTCCAAAAAATTATCAATAACCGAGATTCTCGATCGATATCTCATCTCGGTCTCTAGTTATAAAACCCATTCTAGCTGAAAAAACCGGAAAATTTCAACTTATCTACTTCGATAAAACTAACCTTTTCTTTTCCATTCGTCTAAGGACACACAACTAAATACAAAAAAAACTAAATTTAAAAAATTAAATTTATAAAATAACCCTCTTTGTAAATTTAGAATGTGCCATTGCCTGAACCTCAAGCGGTTGATACAAATGAAAATTGCAACGCTCAGCTATCAAATCATCAACTTTCTCTTCCTCATTTATTTCCTTTTCAGTTGCACATGATTCTAATGCTGGCAATTCATCCTCCATATTATTTTCAGGATCCTTTGTTAGTGCAGGTTTTTGATCAACAACTTCCTCCTTTATTTTTGAAAATCTTCGTTTTCGTGTCATTTTAGAAATTTAATAAAATTTTTCTAAAAAATTCTGAAATTTTGTTACACTTAAAAATGAAAAAGCACTTTTAAATATTAAGTTACTTCTAGAAAAAGAGAAAATCAAAAGAATTTTAAAAAATTATAATAAATTTATACACTTTTTTAAAAAGAATTATAATTAAAAAGTAAGAATTAAAGGAGCACCAAAATTAACCCTTCCACAAGAAATATTAAAAGAGGCTAAAAAAGGATAAAAGCTGCCAACTTTTATTTTCAAACAAAAGACAAAAATAAAAATGATAGTTTTTAAACTATAGATTTCAGACTAACAAGGAAAGGTTGCAAGGTGTCCGACCTAAAAACGGTCGAGACCGAGCTCATTCGATAGAAAATGTGCCCTTTCTAGCAAGGATTTTGTGCCCTGATCTCGACCGTTTTTAGGTCGGACACCTTTACGACCTTTCCTTGTAAAAAAACTTTTTTTTTAAATTACTTGTTATCATTTAGATTAGGTAAAATAATTTCAATATAAGATGTGTGGAAAATTAAGCAAAAATTTTTTAGGAATGGTTGATTATATATAAGAATATAAAAATATTTTTTAAATATAAATTAGAAAATAAATATTAATTAGATGTCGGCACTTGAAAATTATTAAAAAATTTTGACAAAAATTCCAAAAACTGTTTTTATTAGTAAGCACCAACATCGTTATAATTTAAACTAGACGTACTGCAAAGATATCTTTTGTTAGTATATATAAATATCAAAATTAAAATTATTACATATCAGATATGAGATTATTTTGGTTATGTGGCATAGATTAATTAATGCGTATATTTAAGTGCAATTGCAAATGGCATGTAAAAATAAATATTAGCTTAAATTAATTTTGAAATTAAAAAAAAAGTGACAGAAATAGAAACCTTCATTTTTGTTTATATGCACAACAAATCATCAAAAAATCTTCGTTTTTTAAGTAATTTCAAAGATCAGTGTCAAACCAGGAACCATTATGTTGATTTCCTTCAATGTGATCTTGCCGAAGTTCACCAAGACTTGGTGGATAATTGTAAAGTTCGTTGTATAATTCAGGCTCCTTTAAAAAATTGAAAAATATTTTTAATTTTGTTGTAAAAATACCCTTACCATTCCATCATTTAGCCATCCCATTTGTTGTCTACTTCTGTTTCTTTCAAGAGAATTACTAGCCGAATTTTGCTGCTGATGCAAATTATTAGTACTTCTTACAGAAAATCCATTGCTATTAGTAGTTCCATTGAAATTCCCACTTCGAGACATAAAGAAAGATTGTTGATCAATTCCCATATTTTTGAGAATAATTGACGCATATGCAGCTGAAATTTAGACAAAATACCTTATAAAAATTAATTTTAAAAAACCAATAGACTTGTGAGGCGATTGAAGAGCAGCAACAATATGTAGTTGTGCTTCATATGCAATTACAGTTTTTGCTCCATCACGAGATTTTGTTAACTGATAAATAAGCCCCATAATTTCACGCATCAATAATTCATCATTTGTTGAATTAACATCCGGATTTGAAATTAACTTTAAAAATATTTTTTAAAAAGTAAGAAAAATAAAATTATTTACATCAACAAGCAAATTCATAACTACAGGCCGATGCAAAATAAGGGCGGCAGAAGTCGGATCTCTTGCAAATTGATGAAGCGCTGAAATTGCACCCTCCACCATTTCGAGTAATGAAACACCATCTCTTAAACCAAGCCAATCTTTGGCAAGTTCTCTTCCAGTCTCTTCAAGAAATTCAATTGATAAAGTCAAGACGTTAGCACCGTCTGGAGTTTTTTCCTGTAAAATATTAAAAAAAGGAATTTTAAAAATACAAAAAAACTAACGTTTAAGATAAGCCGCAAATTTTCGTTAGATAAAGAACAATTTCGCAACAATCCCAAAGAAGCTTTAACAATTGGAGGTCTTCCAGTGGCCAAAAGTGCAAGCATTATTGGATGAGCAAATCTCAGTTCATTTTGTGCTTGATGAGCAAGTGGATGGCGAACCGTACAGTGACGGAGTGTGCATAAGGCTGGTTCTGTGACATCTTCAATGTTGCAAAATTTGGCAAGAGCTCTGGCTAGGCAAGAAATTCCACCTGCTGTGCAGACCTTTTAAAGTGATTTTATGAAAATATAAATTGAAAACGAACAGCTTTTTTATTTAAAATATTGTTGCAAGTAAGATTAGAAAGAATTCCACAAGCACACCCAACTAGTTCATCATCATCTTGTTGAGCAACCAAAATAATAAGATCATTAACCAAATTATTAAGGGTTTCTAGATTTGTGGCAGCATCTGAGAGGTTCCTGTATGGAAAAATTTAAAAAAAGGCAATTGAACAATTTAAAGTGATTTTAAAAATTTTTAATCTGGAGTCAAAAACTAAACATTTTTAACAAAATTTATAATTAAAAACCCAAGGATTCGTTATTATAATTTTAAAATTTCCTAATTATTAAAAATAACCTGAGAGCATTTAACGTAGCCAATTTCCTTTTATCATCATCCATTAATTTAAGAGCACGATGTAAAAGCTCAATACCGCCTAAACTTACATGTTAATAAATTTATTAAGAATTATAACCAAACCAATTGCAATCAACATTGCTTTATTTTCATCATGTGTACTTATTGAACGAATACATCTTACAACAGCATATAATAATTTGATATAATTTGATTCTGTACGCAAAACTTCAACTAAATAGCGAGGGCCTTGTAGAGAAAGGAAAGTATTTTTGCATTGAGGTTGATCCAAAAGAAGGAAATATAAAGAATCGGCAACCTGAAATTCAAAAATTACTATAAAATAATTTAACAAGATTGATGACTCATTTGATAAAAAAAGAACTAAAATTTGGATTCAACCCCTTAAAATAAAATTTATATCTTTTTCGGCAATTTGTGTGAATTTTTTAAGTTAAATAATTTTTAATGATTTTTATTTTACTAATTAAATTCGATAAGAAAATTAACAAAAAATTATAAACTTCACCATAGCTTGAAGCTTCGGATTAGGCCCAGATTGTGGAATAACCGTTTGTGGTGCCAACAGTGGAACAAAAGCTTCCAAAGCTCCACAAGCAATAGCCTCTTGCTTCGATTGTTCAACATAAACTAATAGATGATGAAGAGTTGTTGTTGCATAATTAATTACAGAAGCAATTGGACATCGTAAAAGGCGAACAAGTTCGGCTATCCCGCCGCTACGAAAAATATAAGCGGCACCAAGTTGGTTGGCGGAAAGATGGGAAAGTGCTGCAGCAACATGCCGCCTTGTCTCTTCGTCTGAAGCAGTGCTAAAAAATTAAATTAATCAGAAAAATAAAAAAGAAAAAATTACTTCAAAGCCCTAATTAAAGCATCCACAAGTGGTTCACTTGAGGCAAGGCTAACAACAATTTTCTCCTCCTTGGACAATTGATGAACCATTTTAGCGGCTTGTAGGACTTCATGCTAAATTTTGAGGAAATTTTAGGTCGCTATTTAAAAAAATTTAACAGATCTAGAGATAAAAACAAAGGAAACAAAAAATCAAATAAAAACCTGATCATGTGTAGAAGAAAGTTTTTGAACAAATTGAGGAATATTATTTGTTACAACAACTTCCGGTGCTAATTGTGGCTGAGCTCGAACGTTTAAAAGATCAAGAACTGCTTCTTTAAGTTGTTGTGTTGGGACTGCAAATCGCGAAACAATTGAAGTTTTAGAGTATTCAGCTTCAGTTTCTTCATCGCCAGTCACTATTTCTGGGAAGAGAATACGACGTATTCTGCTAGTAGTTTTTGTGTAAACTTCTAAAATAAATGTAAAAATTTCTTTGAAATTTTTATTTAAAATTATACCATGGAATTCACTGCTTGTATTAAATTCTGAATAAATAGTTTCATCTAATGACATTATCAAAGTTGTGATAAATTCTAAAATAAATTCAACAAGAATGACTAAAGTAATACTCCACTTACCAGAAAATTAAGACTCAAATGTCGCATTTCCCTTTTCGCTTCAAAACAAAAATACCGTAATCTGTTAAGAACATTTTTAAAAGATTCAAAAAAAGTTTATTATTTAAGCTCGAATAAATCCTCATTTTTATTTGATTCTACTTGTTTTGGTTTTACACGATTTTCTAGTAGTTTTGTAAGAAATTTCTAAACTAATTGATTTCTAGTTTTATCAGCTTTTTGCCCTCGTTTTGTTTAATTTTGGTTTTAATTAATTTTGATCCAAAATACATATATATAATGTCTTTTATTTATTTTTAGGCTAATTCCCTATATAATATTACACTTCAGCATAACAAATGGCTAATTATCCTTCTCCACCACCTTATTCTGGGGTTTGTAGCAGTCCAAGCGGTGTTGGTAAAGTATCGTCAAGTGCGTCTGTTGGGTCTCCAAACTTCTCTGGAGGATCTGCTAGTTCACCGTCGTTTACTCCAATTCTTCCACCTAGATTTGGACCCAATCCGGTTGAAATGGATTGGTATTTTATCATTATTTTATTACTCTAATTTTTATAAATTTAGTCCAAATTGTGATTCGCGTATTTTAACCAACACGACTACTAAGGATGGTGCTCTTACTTGGATGTTAGATTTTATAGTTTGATTAAAAAAAACTACAAATTATTTTAAGTGTTTGCTTCTCATGTTTTCTTACTGGAGGTTGTTTTTTTGGCATCTGCTGTTTTTTCTGTTGGGTACCTTTTTGCATTGAGGATTGTATGGATATTGTTCATTCTTGTAAGTTTTTATTCTTTCGTGTTAATATAAAATTAGTTTCTACCCATATTTGTGAAGACTTTCATTTTACTATCAGTATTCTGATGGGATTTAAAGTTTAAAAAAGAGTAACAAAAAGGCATAGTCTTTCTCTCGCATTTTTGCGGGTAACTTTTGCCGACAAATTTAAAACAAGTATAAAAATGTTCAAGAAATTATTTAAGAAAGGCCTTTTTTGCAAGAGTTGTCCACAAAGAGTCTTGTGTCAGCTAAAGATAATCTGTAATTTTAATTTTTCTAATCAATTTCAAAATTTTTTAGGTCCGTCCTGTAATACTCGTCTAGGAAAGTATTGTCGTATTTAGCAAGGTGAAGTGCCGATATTTGTAGGAATAGATACATATTAGAATAAATAAATGTCTTAAATTATAATTGTTGTTTTTTAAATTGTATTATAATTGTTTTTAATTCCCTAATATTTATTGGTAAAAAATCGAAATTTTTTTTATCATTGTTGATTATAATTATTAATTTCTCTTTAATAAATAAGGGAGTTGCCATTATAAAATCACCATCAATTACCATTTTTATTTTAATTCCCTTCAAAAAAGTTCCTTCCCGTTAATTTATTGGCCAGAATTTTTGGAAAAGTTTTCCAAAACATTGGTCGGTAAAAGACATTTGATCAAAATCTGACTCAGAAATATTTTTAATATCAATACTGATAAAATATGTATGTCGTGTCGCCAATTTTGAATGCAATTATTGGCTCTGACAAATTTTTGAATACATTTTGACTTGAATAATTTCGGCTCTAGAATTAAAAAATACAAAATTGCCAATTCCCCTTATAAGATGCCTAAATGTAATTTCAATTAATTGCCCAATTGTCCTCAGTCCAATTCTACTGTTCAATTGTCTCGCTGACCAATTGTCGTGTTAGCATTTAGACGGCTTTTTTCCATTCGCGTCGAAAAAAAATATCGTATCCGTTTTAGTTTATTTCTATAAATCTCTCATTTTTTATCATTTATCTCATCACAGCACTTCCACCCTGTTGACGCACGCGCGAAAACTAGCTAACTCTTTTCCCTAAACATAACGCCAAAATTTAAATTGAATATCTATGTACTCTCCACATTCTATTGCATCTCTCGTGCGTCTGACTTTATTGCAAACAAGAGAAAGGGTCAGAAGGAGACAAGTTATAAAATGGTCAGAAGGAGGGAAAATGGTCAATTCTCTCATTTGTGAGGGGGAATTAGTTAAATTTTATAACTTTTTATCCTCTGATCCGATTTTTTTCAAATTTTGTATTTTTATAGACCTAAAATAGTTAAACAATCCTACAAAGTTTGGGAAGCTAATATACATTTTTAACTAAGTTAGGAATTTTTGAAAACTCGATATTTACGACTTTTAGGAGTCTGTATCTCAGCTCATAACTAAGGTATTTTCTTGATTTTGGTGTCATTCGACTCAACTCGACGAGCTCTTTCGAATGACATATAACACACATACTCGGGAATTGCCCATATTCGTAAGTATATTTTGTCGAATTTCGGGAGTCTATAACTAATAACCCCAAGTGGCAAAATTTCCTTCAAAATTTGCCAAATTGTAGTACTATAATTGATATACAACTTTGCGAAATTTGAGTGGAAAATCTGCAAATTGGGCTAAGTTATGAATTTTTAAAAATCGGTAAAAATTTATACATTTTTGGCCATAACTCGGCCCAAATTGGCTTTATAATTTAAAATTTAGCATGAATCGACGTATCTCGTCGAGTTGCATCGAATGGTACTAAAATCGACTTCCTTTGACTTTTTTTACATTTAGATTTTTATCCGAAACTGATTGAAACTTCAGTCTGTATTAACTCTGTGAATTTTGTATGAAAATTTCTGAAATTTTTTTCACACAATCTTAAAGCAATTATCTATAAATTGTTCGCAACAGATTTTTAAAAATAGGAAAAGTTTTCGCGATATTGGATTTCAAAGTTTTGTTAAAATTTGTTCTCGCAGACGCAAAAAAAGAGTGCATAAAATAAAGAGAGACAGTTGGAGAACGAAAGAAAAAATAGATAGAAAGCTAAGTAGTTTTCGCGCGTGCGTCAACAGGGTGGAAGTGCTGTGTCTCATGGATTTTCGAAAATTTTAAGAAAAATTGTTTCTTGGCGAGGATTGTTGTTAAGTGGATTTTAGCTTAGCAATATAATATTTTAAGTTGAATTTCGAATCCGTTAGGACTTTATATTCATTTCCTCGAGGGAAAAAACTTATTGTTAAATCAGGACAAATGAAAAAAGTTGATTAAATCATTTTGACTCTAGTGTCCAATTATCCCGATGACCAATTGTTCCAATGTCTAATTGTCACGGCCGTATTTGACGAGTATAAAAGCAAATTATGAAATCAGTTTTAAATAGATCGGATTTTATGATTTTAAGGTTCTTGTTCTTTTTTTAACTTTTTAATGTTTCTAAATGTTTTTTAAAAATAGATTCCTTCCTCAAACCAGATTCCTTTCTTAAACTATTTCTTCCATGTTTTCTTCCTTTAAGGTCGCGTGTATCACGTTTTTTTACCTAGAGTGAACGTGACTAATTTGGCCTTTTTATTTTTTAAGCGGTGGATTATTGAATTTTGTAAATAGGATATAGTGCATGTTCACTCTAAATAAATTTGTCTATTTTATATTTCTATATCCCCTGTTTTTTGAGATCCATTATTTTCTTTGTAATAATTTTAATTGTAATTTATTTTAATTACCTATCCTATATCTTTGATCTTTGGTGTTTATCTTCGAAGAAATTTACCTATTTTTAGGAGGGAGGGAAAAATCTTTCTTATTTGCATATATGCGTATCTGCACTAGGTGTTGTTACCTTTTTAAATTTATGAGTCATTCTTTTATTCATTTTCGATTGCATTTTTGTAAAATCGTAAATTTCTTTATTGAGCGCGTTTAAATATTTTGTATTCTTGCTTTTGTCACATGATACTTTTTGATTTTTTGTTTCAATTTTTAAATTGCTTATTTAGTTTTTTCAGATTTTTGACTTTAAATAAATTGATTTTTGATCATCAGAGTGGTGTGATGACAGATATTCAAAAGCAACCGAAATTAGCGACAAAAGAGCAATTAAGACTTGCAGAGCTTCTCATACAACCAGGACGTCAAACGTTAAATACGACTGACGATGCTGCTTCACAAAAACGACTTAAAAAGGTTTAACTTTGCAATTTTAAGTAAGCTTTTCGGAATTTATCGGTTGTGAGTATCTTTATTGGGGGTTATTTTAGTTTTATCCCAGGGTTGAATTATACAAACAGTCGATAAATACCCAAATTCCAGGTTATCGAGCTTACAAACTGCACACCATCTGCAGCTGAAGTTGCACTTATTGACACTGATGGTAGTGTTGAGGCGGCTGTTGCGTTGCTGCTTGATAAACCAGATGAGCTTGTACTTTGGAGTCAACAGGGTGCGAAGGCGCGCAATCGACCAGTCAAAGGGGCGACAGGTGCATCGAATTCTGGAACAGGACCAACGGGACAACAGCAATTCTCTAAATCACTTATGACATCTTATAGTGGCGGTGGACGTCGTGGAGACTCCCAGCGAGGAGGTAATTTCCATTTCTAGTCATTTTACAAAATATGTTTTTAGAGAATCGCTTCCGTCGTGATGGCCAGAATTCATTTGAAGGAAAACAAGGTCAAACTGGATTAAATCGGCAGAAGCGAACGCCTTCGAATCGAAATGGAGAACAACAGGAAAATGGACAGTACGTTTGTTCTTGATATTAAATGTCATTGAAATTATTTTTAGTGCTGATCGTGCCAAGTCACATGAGCGATTTGGAGACAGGCCTTTCAAGCCGCGAGGAGATCGTGTCAATGCTTCTGGTGGTGCAACAAGCGGTTTTCGTCGTCGAAACAATTTCAATTCTGCTGGTTTGTTTTATTTCTTCACTCATGTTTTGAGTTCAATTTATTTTCTAGGCAAAGGTGATTTATTTTCGAAGACGCCTAACGACAATAATGCTACAAGTACTGGAACCTGGAATGCAAACGACAACAATTGCGGTGAATGGAATAATAACAAAGCCGAAGAAAAGACAAATGATGCGAGCTTCCCAATTGGAACGTTTTCTCCTGGTGACGATGCACAGAATACAACAAGAGGACGAAATGCCGCGAACAGCAAAAATGATGATTGGGTTTTTTTTAATTTTTTGAAACAAAATATCTTGTCATTTTAGAAGAGTGGGCCTCGTGTTTTCATGCCATCGACTTTGCAATCTGCCAATACTGCGAACAACTCAATTATCACTTCTTCGGTGGCTCAAGTCCCAGCTACCAACACTTCAAGCTGGCCATCGTTGGAGCATAACAGCAACAATTTAAATCATGGAACATCGGCAAATACTTCTTTGGATATTCAACAACCGCCTAAACCGAAGACTTTTGCTTCAGTGGCCGCTTCTAAGAAGACGCAACCTCCGCCTCCGTTGCCACCACCGTTGATGGTTATGCAACAGTTTAATGATATCAAGCCATCTTCCAATGCCGTGTATGAATCATCACAGGTAAAAAATAAAAAAATTTTATTCGATTTGTTAAAACTTATTAGGTCAAACAACAGCAAAATTGTCAGCTTCCACATCGACAACCTACCGAAAATGATTCTGTGCTTTTGGATGTAAAGGCCACCAGCGGAAATTGTCCATCGGAAAATACGTCAGTTGAACAAGAGTATGATATTTTTAGTTTAAGAATGTTTTTAATTTCATACGTCCTCTCAAAGCTTCCTTTTTGACTTTTCTTTATTATTCTACCGTTTTTCTTTTAAGGTGGAGCACGACAGTCGACTGGGCAGTGCCTGTTAGTCCGAGATTAAATAGTGGCCAACCTGTTGTTTCTAGTGCAAACCAGCCGCCTCATTCCGAATCATCTGTTGCTGCAATGGCACCTGTTGACTCGTTTGGATCATCTGCTGCTCATTCTATAACTGTCAATCAAGAATACACAAATCAATTAAAAAGCGCTATTGGACTTATGCAGCAACCGCAGCATCAAACTAATCATCAACAGCAACAATCCACGATGCCCAGTCAGCAACAACATTTAACATCGCAGAATTCTAATATCGCGCAATCAAAACGACTGAGCACAGCTTCATCTGTTGAATTTTTCCAACAACAAATGTCTCAAATGCACGATACACTTGCGGCTGATGCATCTGATTGTATGAATTAAATTTTTTGTAAACATATTTTTTTAATTATTTAGTTGATAAAAAAGTGGAATTTGCTACCGGTGATTTGCCACCTCCTGCTGCAGCAAATATGACTAGTAATTATCAATTTGGTTTCGATGAAAAGATTGGTATTCCATCAGCTGCTTCTTTAAATGATGCTTGGTCAACTAAACATATTTCCTCAGTTGAAGTATTTTTTCAAGTTTTTTCTTTTTAATTTTGCGTTAATTTCAGATGGATCGCTCAATGTTAAAAAATTCCACGGCTGCAAATGTACTCAGCACTATGACAAGTATACCAACGACAAGCTCAAGCGTTACTGCTCATTTTTCTACTTCTATTCATCCAGCAACTCAACATCTATCACACGATTACCGATCGCAGCAACAACAGCAGCAACATCGTAATGCTTCTCAGGCTGGGTCTGCAGCTCTTTCGTTAGTTTTATTTTATTTTTAGTTTTTATTAAAAATAATTTAAGGTTTACTGATACTGCTTCTGTCAATTATCCTCCTGCAAATAATTCTAACAGTGGAATGCCTAATGTTGTCTCCTCGGTCAGCCATCCTCCACAAGCATCGTTAGTTCCTTCTACAACATCTGGTTCTTCTCAAGCAATGCAGCAACAGTCACAGCACCAGCAACTTAACAAAACTACAACATCATATTATACAGCGGCTAATCAATCGGTTCGTATTAAAAATTTTTTATAAATATTTTTATTCAGCAGCAACAACAACAACAGATGCATCCTTCAATGATGGCTGCAGCAGCAGCGGCGGCAGCAGCAGCACCTGTTTCTATACAACAGCAACTTTCTGCAGCTTCTCATCATATTCCACCACCGCTCACTCATCATTTGCAACAGCATCAACCGCCTCCACAGGCAATTTATCATCATCACCAAACTTCGACTGCACCTCCGCCGGCTAGTGCTGTTGCACAGTTTCCGAGTTATAATATGCCGTAAGTTTTTAAAGTTTTTTGTCTTTTTTATTATTTTTTTCTTTAAAAGGTATATGTATTCTCCTGTTGCCACTGCACAAACTATACCGGGAGCTCCAGCAGAGATTGACAGATTTTTGTTACAACAATATGGACCATATAGAGGATTGGATATGCAGCTTGGTGCTATGGTAATAATGTTTTTTCCAATTCTAGATATATACGAACATTTTAAGACGCTTGGACCGCCTACAACTTTAGCTCCATCTCATCGTAATCAATTGGATTCTTTTATGGATAATAAATTTGGACAACAACAGCAAACAGGCAAACTTTAGTTTTATAAAATCATGTTTAATTTTTTCTATTTAGTAAATCAGCAAGGTCAACTTTCACATAATCCTGTAACTGCAGCTCAACAGCAACGCGCAGGACCACCCGTTCAAGCGGACGTTGCAGCAGCTGCTGCTATGTTTGGAGGGGGACATGTCGCACCTCCACCAGGTTTTGGGATGCCCACACCACCGGCTCAGGCGTCGTATATGCCACAACCTGCGAATTTACAGTCCTTGTTTCAGGTTATTTTTGTTTTGGTTTTCATTTTTTTGATTTCTTTTTCTTCAGATGCCAACATATCATCCACAAATGTCTTACCAACATCAATTTATGCTGCCAAACGCTAATTGTCTTCCTCAGCGTCCTACAGCGCAAACTTCTCCTCCTGAAGGAAACGGTGGAGGACCGCGTCATGGTGATGTTCAAAACTATGGTGCTGATTCTGTTAATGAACAACAACATTCCGGTGGTCCAGCTGGCGGTGGAGCAGGTGGTCATCAATCATATGTTAACAAGTTCGTGAACAACAGCACCTATCGTCCTTATATGTAAGACGAGGAAGAGGAAGATATCAAAATGGGATAAGAAATGAAGAAAATTGTTGACAGAAAAAAAATTTTGATTTTTAGTTGATAAAAAGGAAATGTTATTACCCCCCTCTGATGACTATGTTATCGTTTTATTTTTTTTCTATCTATATTCCTTATAACCCTTAATTCTGAAGAATAATTATATATATATTCTTCATCCTCCTCCCTTTTCCAAAACAAAAATAAACAATCCACACTCTTCCACATAAATATATTCATCTGTCATTTTTGAAATTATCGTTTTTTCTATTACACACCACACAAAAACGCACATATAAATTTGGTTTTATTTAAATAAAAATTTAAATGAAAAAGAGAATTTTTGCTATTTTAAAAATGTTGTATTTAACAACAAATATATTGATCACTTTCTTTATCACAGTTTTTTTAGACATATTTTTTGACAAATTCAAAATCAGTGATACTCGTTTAATTTTATTTTTAGGCCAATTATTTCTATATACTCCGATATATTGGCATCTAAATGGATTCTCCACCACCTTATTCTAAAGTTTGTAGCAGTCCTAGCGGTGTTGGGAAAGTATCATCAAATGCGTCCGTTGGTTCTCCAAACTTCTCAGGAGGATCTGCTAGTTCTCGGACATTTACTCCAATGCTTCCACCTATATATGGGCCATATCCTGTTGAAATGGACTGGTATTTTTTTTATTTTCTTATTCTAATCTTTATAAATTCAGTCCGAGTTGTAAATCTCGTATTCTTACCAACACTGCTACTTCGATTGGTGCTCTCGTTTGGATGTTAGATTTCATAGTTTGATCAAAATAACTAAACTATTTTAAGCATCTGCATGTTGTGTTTCTTTTTGGGAGGGTGTGGTCTCATCTGCTTTTTTTTCTGTTGGGTTCCTTTTTTCATTGAGGACTGTAAGGATGTTGTTCATACTTGTAAGTAATTGAATAAAATAAAAGGATTTTTAATTAAAAATTTTTCTGACTAATTTAAAAAATATTTTTAAGGTCCGTCCTGTAATATCTATCTAGGGAAGTATTCTCGTCTATAGCAAGGTGAAGTGCCGATATTTGTGTTAGGAGTAATATAAAAATATAACAAATGATCTCAGGTTGTTTAAATTATAATTGTTTTTAATGTCATAATCTTTAATAAATTCAATTGTCTTTCTGTTTGTGTAGTCAACTCTCATTTCATAATAATTTACTATTCGGGACACGCCTAGGTAGCGCAAAGCCATAACTAGCTCGAAAATTTCTGACCCTTATCAATTTTGCTACTAATTTCTTTAGCTCGATGAGATTTTATTACTTTATTTGATAAGATTCGTAAAACTTTAAGCAAGTGATAGCTTTGCGCCTATTTGGCCGTGCGCCTAACCTTACCCCTATTTTTCGAGATCAAAAATTTAAGAAATAAAAATTTCAGAAAGCTCGAAATTATTTTACGAGTTCATTAACAATAAAATTATTAAAATAAAAATTTAATGTATAATTTATCTATTCCAATATTAACTTTATTTGGTTATTATTTATTAAGGAAACACTTCATTTTCTCGTAACCTATAAAAATCTATAAACAAAATAAATATTTTTATTTTGTTTAAAAACCATTTTTTTTCTGATTTTAATCGGATTAAATAAAAAATCTATAGAGACGCTCTTTCCTTTTTTATTAAAAATTGTTAGTGTTTGATCTTCTATAATCGATTAGAAGTTTAGTAAAAAAAAGGAATTTCCGTTGAATTACTCTTACAAGGGAATTTTATTTTAAAAAATTTTATTTGATCACAAATAATTTGTGCTTCATTTTCTATTTTCCCTTTAAATTACTCATACTAAATAATTTTTTTAAATTTTTTTTTCAATTTTCTTTTTCACTTTAAATTTTATTACACTTTAAATTTAATTATTTGTTTACTAATTACTAGTATATTTAATCTTTTTTTTTAGATTTTGTGCCTTTTCACTTTAATATTACACCTAAAATTTAAGTATTAATCTATTTTATTTTTTATATTGTGACCTTTTTTCAATTTTTAATATAAATTCCACATCAAATATTCCCCTTATTAAAAGTTCCACTATTAATTCATAGAAAGAATTTTGATTGTTTAAAGCTCGACAAATTAATTTTTTAACTTTCCAATTTTTATTCAAATTCAGAATTATATACCTAATTCTATTCAATTTTCTAAAAAAATTCTTATTTTTGGCTCTGATCGAGACTTGAAATTTTCTTAATTTATTTAGTTTACCCTTTTCAATTTTACAAAATTTTTTCATTTCACCCTCTGTTTATTTCCTATAATCGCGTAATTTTAATGATTTCGTCCAAAAACTGATAGATTTTTAAAAAATAATTTTTATTTTTAGAGCTACTTAAAAGTTTTCATAAAAAATTTTTTTGATAATTATTTAAATATTTTATTTAACAACAAAAAATGGATAATAACCCGCCTCCACCACCCTATTATTCAGGAACTTTTAACGACCCGGGTAATCCCACAAAAGAAGGAATTCCTGTATTTACACCACCACCATACCCACCACCACCACCATCACAGTCATATATTATTGGTGTTGGATCTTTGTTTGTTTTTCTTTTAAAATTCCAAAAAAAAATTAATTATTTAGACCTAATAATGGACAACAACAACCTTCCAATATATCACCACCTCCACCACCACCTGTCATGACTCGCCCAATTCATGTTTTTACACCTAAATTTGGGCCTTATCCTCTTGAAATGGATTGGTAATTTTTTAAATTTACCCTACAAATATTTTAATAAATTTGTCAAGACAACAAACTTCCTAAATTAACTATGGGTATCGGCGGAATTCTTTTTGCCTTGTCGTTATTTTTACTAAAAATATTTTTAACCTTTAAGTTTGGTATTAATTTAGTCTCATAGTGGTTTGGCACTTTTTTTACGCTATAACTGTTTTATTTTGCGGTTATTGATTATTGACAATGTTAGCATGAAGCTAATGTTGTGCTTCTAATCAGAGTTGCGTCGTAATTGAAAATTTTTTTTCGTAATCGTAATTCGTAACTGAAAAAATGCCGTAATTCGTAATCGTAATTCGTAATTTTTCAAAATTATTTAAATTAATTTTAAAAATCAAATATTTATTAATAATTGCTGCTTCTCCCATTAATCTCACCAAGTCTTCTTATTTCTCTGATATTATTCAAATCCCAATTAATTCCCTGATATCCCTCTTAATCCTAATAATCCTCCGATATTTCTTTAATCAATCATGAGGAATCATCGTCCCAGATTAAGTTTGATATCATGTCAAATCATTCTCACTTAATCCCGAGCCAACACTCTTATATTTTCAGCGCCGCAGGCGAAAATTTTTTAGAAAATTCATGACTAGATTAAAAATTTTTAAGTTTTTTTCAATTTTAAGATATTAAAAATATAAATTTACAAACCTAAAATCAAAATCAAATTTAAAAACATTTATTTTTGAAAAAATAGGTTGTCTAAATTTTATTTCCCAGACTTGTATTCGAACCAAACACCACAAAATATTAAGTGAGTGAAGCTTGACTTTTAACCCACTCAACCACCGATAAACACAACTAAGGGGAGAGAAAAAATAAATATTTCTTCTCCTTTTTATTCTAAAATTTTTTGGCAAAATTATTTTCGTAATTCGTAATTTTTCCCTATACATATTTTCGTAATCGTAATTCGTAATTTAAAAAATTTTTTCGTAATCGTAATTCGTAACTGAAAAAACACCGTAATTCGTAATCGTAATTCGTAATTACGACGCAACCCTGCTTCTAATCTAGACCGGGTAGGAGGGAAGTTGGGTATTAAAAAAAATCCTGTTAATGTCCTTTAATTTTAACGTTTATATTTTTAGTCCACATTGTCGTTCGCATATTGTCACGCAAACAATTAAAACGCCTGGAGTACTGCCTTGGATGTTTGAAATTTTTTAAATTTTATTCAAATTTAAAAATCATTTATTTTCAGTATTATGGGAGTTTGTTTTGTTATTGGATTTTTCTTGTTGCTCCCTTGGTGTATTTGTTGTATGCCTTTTTGCATTGATTCCTGCTTGGATGTTGAACACTTATGTAATTAAAATCCTCAAAAAAATTAAAACAATTTTTATTTTTAAGGTCCTTCCTGCAAAAAACCTTTGGGAAGGTTCTCTCGAATTTGAAAATATTTTTGGACGAATTGCTACTTAATAAAAAGAAATTTCTTTAAGTCATAAAAAACAATTTGTTTAAAAAAGTACTTAATTTTAACTTTTGAAAAAGAATTTCAATTTTTAAATGATTGCCCCTAATAATTGTCACTAAAGAGTGGAAAATTTTGAAAATTTAATTTCAGATTCCTATTAGGCTGCTCTAAAAATTTTTTTTTTGATTAAAAATATGTATTTTTCCTTACTTTAGTGGTGGTTTTGGACTCTATCCTTTTTTTATTTTTTTTTGAAAATTAGTATTTACTTTGGGAGTAGTAAACCCCCCCCATACGCCCACATGTCTCACTTGGACATGTGAGACGGGGGCAGGGGGATGTGTTAAGGTGTAAGGGTTTTCATCTCCCATCCGTCCCAGTGGGACCGATGGGTGTTGGGTGACCTTGACAACAAGTACAAGCAATTCTGCGGCTGAAAGGAGATGAACAAAGGGGAAGGGGGTAGAATTTTGCCGCTATTAAATTTCACTCATGTCCCACATGTTCCAGTGGAAAATTTGAGAGGAACTGGCGGTAAAACAAAAGGAAACCTTTGCTTGTACAAGTACAAGCAAATTTGCGGGTGGATGAAGGTGATCAAAGGGGGGAAGTGGGGGAAGTTAACTGTAACTAAATTTCTCTGTTGTCCCAAATGTTCCAGCTATTAATTGGCGGTAAATCTAAAGGAAACCTATCAAAAGGAAACCTTTTCTTGTACAAGTTTCCGCTATTAATTTCTCCCTTTCCCACATGTACCAGTGGGAAATTTGGGAGAAACTTGCGGGAAAACAAAAGGAAACCTAATGATTTGACAAACCTTTGTCTCTGATGTGAGGGTACAAGTAAAGGAAAAACAAAAAAACATTAAACAAAAAATTAAAAAATAAGGGGAAAATAGAGATATTGACGTTTTCCCCTCCCAAGGTCATTTGCGGGAAAAATAAAAAATAAAACTCCTTTAAAGTAAAATTTTCTCCTTTATTGTTTGATTGCGGCAATTTTAAAAAATTGTAAAATTTAAAAATAATGGAATTATGTAAAAATTTCGAAATTTTGGAATGCATTTCGAATCATGATAGGCTGTCAGAATGTAAGGGGGAGTTAATTTCGAAATGTAAAAATGAAAAAATGTCACAGCGACAAAATGCCATCTCTCAATTCGTCATGTCACAAAACGCCAACCTTCAAAATACCAATTCTTAAAAGATCATCTTTATATTTTCTCTAATATTTATTTTTTCAACCTATATTTCTCGTCTTTTACTATAATAAATCGTTAAAATTTTTAAACATCATTAATTATTTTAATTATATCCATTTTATAATTGCTGTAAACTTTAAAATTCAATTCTTATTACATAAATTTAATTAATATAACCTAACTTTCTAAACTAAACATGGTTCATATTCCTTTTGATCCAAGAACAGTCGGTTACGACGACCATCATGCACCTGTCAGCCAAACAGGTGGAGGCGCTGATGAAAATTATTACTATTTTCGTGGACTTAATCCCTATCAACGTGGATATGGGAGACAAGCGGGTGGCGGGGTTGGAGACGTACTCAGAAATTTTTGGCGTTTCCTTTTACCTTATGCAAAACGTGCGGGTACAGCTGTAGCAAAAGAAGCATTGGATACCGGTGGAAGAATTCTAGAAAGTGTTGGGAATCCTGAATATGGGAGTGAAGATTCTAATACTAATTTTAAGCAAACAGTTATAAGTGAAGGAAAACGAGGATTGGACAGATTACTTGAGAAAGGAGGATTACCAAAACAATTTGGAACCGGATTACGAGCCAGAGGTAGTATAAAAGGTCTCAAAAGAAAAGTTAGACCTCATCCAAAATTTTCAAGGCAAAAAAGTCATCAACTCATTATTGGTAAACATCCCTCAGATACCACAAAAAGGAAACGTCAAAAAATAGATACATTCGGTCTTTATTAAATAAAAATGTCCACTCATCAGAAGATTGATCGCGATTCTGGCAATGCAATAACAAATGCTTTATCATTTTTCGAAACTCCCCATACAAATGTTAGTATTAGCAACTCATCATTTATCGAATTGCTCACACTTAACCCTGTAAATATCACCCCGTTTCATTTTAAAATTCATGCAACTACCAATTATATTGATTTGGCTAAAACTTATGTTTTTACCGAACTTAGGATTAAAAAGGAAGATAAAGATGGGAAACTTGTTGATATAGGAAAAGATGATAATGTGGCGACCGTGCAGCTTATAGGCCACACAATTTGGAAAAATTGTCGCATGCATATTAATGGGACACAGGTTTTTGAAGGGAATTCCCTCATGGCATACAAAAGTATTTTTGGCTATGAACTAACTTACCCGCAAAGTGTGAAGAACTCTTATCTTTCTGTGGCGGGATATTATGATGATGGGGCTACACAGACATATCCAGGAGTTGATGCAAATGGATATGGAATTAAATCAAGGAAGAAACTATTTTTAGACGAAGATGGGAATCCTCGTAGTGCACAATTTATGGCCAAATTGGATGTTGATATTTGTAATCAGCCAAGATATTTAGTAAACCAATGTGAAGTTGATATTGAACTACTACCCAATGAATCAAGTTTTCTACTTAGTGCTCCCTGGGACACTGCCCCAAAATACCATCTAGAAATTTTGGCTTGCAAATTATATGTAAAGAAGATTGAATTAATGGATAGTTTAGCTTTTGATATTTCGAAAAAACTCGAAATAAAGCCCGCACGGTACCCAATAAGAAAAACATCTCTCAAATCCTTATTCATTGGTGAAAATAGAACAGAATTTAATGCTAACATATGGATGGATCAGGTGCCTAGAAGAATTATATTGGGAATGGTTGACAATAAAGATTTTGTAGGACGGCAAAGAACAACACCTTTTTATTTTCAACATTTTAATTTGAGAGATATTTCCATAACAGCTGGGGGAGTGACATTTCCAGCAGCCCCTTATTCCCTTGATTTTTCAAAAGGAAACTTCGCTAGAATTTTTCATGACATGCAAGAGGCAGTAGGGTACGCGGGATCACTAGAAAGTAACGGTATATCAATGTTTCGGTATGCATATGCAGGATATTGCTTCTTCGTATTTAACCTCACAAATAGTCAGGAAGATAATGGGCCAGAGATGTTTGATTTAATAAAGAATGGCACTACTAGTATAAGAATGACCTTCAACGAACCTGTTCCAAGTGGTGGGATTGTACTTGTAGCAATGGGTGAAATCGATTCGCTGCTAATGTTAGATAGGAACAGAACTATTTCCACAGATATTTCAGTATAAATACCCACAATTTTCCTAATTTTTTAATCTTTTACTTCATTTAAAAATGTGTCACATTACTATTAAAATTGAATTTTGCTTTGTTTGTATAATTTTGTTTTCCTTTTTGTATAAATTTACACACCAATATTATATGTCTAACGAGGATGAAAATCCAGAGTATAGAGAAAAATTAAGAGAACGTATAGGCTATTACGCTAATACTATACCCCCTAAATCAAGCAAAATTTTTAATTCTTCAACAAAATCCCCAATTATTCCTGAAAGAATACAAAATAGTATTGGGCTAGCATCTAAAAATAATCCTGAGAAAAATATTACAATTTTGGATTTTTGGTCAATGGAACACGTGGAGAATGTCCAATTTCCCTCCCCTTGCAAGGAATTCCCTTCATCAGAAACATCGATTGCTCAAACTATTTACTGTTATACATTAATTGTACTCTGGCTTCTATTGCTAGCAACAGCCTTAACCTATCAACTGAGAAAATTTATAAGAATTAAAAACAACAACAATATTGACATTGAACTTGGAGAAATACGAAGAAAAGATTCAAACATTCCCTTCCTTGACGGAAATGGACACTTTACAAATAGAAAAAATTCTATTACTCAACAAAATAACTAGAAGATATTTTATTGGATGCTTTGCCTCAGATAAAATCCCACAGGAAGTCCGAAAATACCCTTGTTCAATGGTCGTCAACCTCGAGAAGTCTTCTCAAAATGGATCACATTGGATTGCATTTTTCATAGAAAACCAAGAGAAAATATTAATATTTGACTCATTATTACTCCCCGAACCTCCCATTTCAATAAAAAAATTTATATCCAAATTTCCAAATCGTGTAATAAATAATGTACCCCTTCAAAATCCTCTTTATTCCACATGTGGTCAGCATTGTATCACTTTTATTTATTTTATTTCCTCTGGATTTTCTTATAAAAAATTTCTATCCCTATTATTAAATCATTCAAATCCAGACGAATTTGTTTTTTCTTTTATTATTAAAATGATAAAAAATAAATAAAATTTGACATTAATTAAAACATATTGTTAATTAGTTAAAATTTTATCATTCTTTTAAACATTAGAGTAATAATTACAGTTCCATGATCAAATTTTACAAGACTTCCGTTCATCCATCTCAGTTCAATTTCAATCTCATTAATCTCTCTGGGTAACACTTGTATGAACATTGGTTGATCATACACTCTTTCTACAACACCGCCAGACCTATTCTCAACAGCCACAATTCTAAGTAATGAACTGACCGAATTTCCCATAATTACAGTGTTTGTTAACCCTTTCGAATAAACAGCAAAGCTAGTAAATCCTCCCTTGAGATCAATTCCATATTTTCCAATTTGACCGTTTACCAAAGGCCCCATGGGGAAGCCGAGAACATAGCATAATTGTGAAGATATTGTTATATTTCTAATCTCAGCATCATTGAAAATTACTCTAAAGCGATCAATGCTGTCCAAATATTCAAATTCAATGTCAGAATGCAAATCTTTTGCCTGAGATTCTTTTTCTTCAATCAAAGTAACTGTCTTCTCATTTATCAGATCGTCAGTATTTTGCTCATCTTTTTGTTCTTCAAATATCTCTTCTGTTGGTATAATCTCTTCTGAGGAATCCAAATCTAAAACTGGGCTTTCCCTACTTTTCTCATTCCAACCTTCTTCCTCTTTTTCGAAACCTTCCTCATCAGGTACCGTATCTTCCTCTTCATCTATTGGTTGCTCAAGGGGTATAGGTTGACCATATTTATCTATTCTTCTTGCATGCTTTAACTGTTCCTTGCTTTCTTTCAACTCTTTATCTTTTCTTTCATTTTCCTCTGACTCTCTGGCCTTGTCCTGCTCATACCCATGCCTTTCCTTGACAACTTCAACCATTTCTTCTGTAATTACGGGAGCAGGAATTGGTACTGGTTTGCCTTGATCATCTAGCTTTAGGGCATCTTCCAAATATTCTGGATGAGTTTTCTCTTCAATTTTTTGCATTTCCTTAATTTCATTCTTAGTTGGTGGAATTGGCAGCTCAAAATTTTTCCATTTCTTGTAGGCCGCATGATGTATCGCTGTAAATCTATTTCTTCTGTAGGAAGCCAATTTACTTAAATTGTCAATCTCCT